TAAGCACGAATTCAAGGCGAACTCTCTGAACGTTTTAAAACAAATAATTCCCTCTATAAGGGAGTCCCTCTCTCCTGTATATTGTTCAATCTGACCCTGGAAAAAGTAATACGTAACTATTGGTGCAATATATAATAAATCAGTGCAAATATTTGCCTATGCGGATGATATCAATATGGTTGGGAGAACGGAAAACGCTGTATGAAAGGCGTATGTAGCATTAAAAGAATCAGCTACAATAATATGTTTAATAATAACACCAACAAAACGAAGTATGTGAAAATAAACACGCAACCATAAATCCTACGACCACTTGTTATAGAAAACGACGTAATCGAAACAGTGAACGAATTTGTATACCTGATAGCTCTCCTTAATACTGAAAATAATACTACCGCAGAGATAAACCGCACAATTTGCACGGCCAACAGATGCTATTTTGGGGTCAATCTTCTCCTTAAATCAACAATTATATCAAGAAATACAACAATAAAACTGAGGTGGATAGGGTATGTAATGTGGATGGAACAAAATGATCCAGCTAGAAAAACGCTCCTTGATAGACCCATTAGTCAGAAAAGAAGAGGAAGACCTAGAACAAGGTTCCTCGATAACATGAGAAGACATGAGAAATATGGGAATACGTGCTTGGCGGAGGAAAGCGATGGATAGGAACAAGTGGAGAGGAATTCTTGAGAAGGCTAGGACCCACGTAGGGTTGTAAAGCCAGAATGGTGATGATATAGTCCGTAGAGCGTATATAGGGAATATCATTTCAAAGTAAATCTCGTCAGTAGTAGTTTATATTTATTTGCAGTGTACAATATTATATTGATTGTGTAAGTATATAGAATAAATAAAATGGAGACTTAAATAGTAACATCTAAACATCCTTAAATGGATAGTTTATCATCATCATAAACCTCTTTTTAACTCTTTCCATTTGTTTCTGTCTTGTGCGGCTTGCATCCAATTATTGCTAACACCCTTCAGGTCGTCAGTCAATCTAGTTGGGGGGGCGTCACCTACCTAAAGGTAAAGATAATGCGTTTTAAAGTGTAGATTTCGTATGCAATTTTTACATGTTGTCGCTAATGAAGTGAGTTTTTTTTTAATCTGTTAAATAAATACACTGCTCGATTTTTACAATATTTTACAATTTAAGATGAGATCAATAAAATTAATTCATCACTTCTATTGACCGGTGACTATGGAATATCCATTGTTAGAGCCCAATATTCAAAACATATAGCACGAAATTTCGATTTTGAGTTTGGTAACAAATATGAGTTTATATTCAAAAACGCTGAATATAAGCTTTCACATTACAAATCATATAAAACGTTTAAAATTGTTTCTTTTAACTGTTTAAAAAGACATAACTTCAGCTACAAATTTCAATCGCTACCGTCTTCGTCACGTGTGAGCTCGTTTGTAATGTGAAAGTTTAAATTCAGAGTTTTTTAATCATATTTTAAATGCCTCTTATTTGTTCCCAAAACTCAAAAACGAATTTTCATGTTTTTCAGATATTTTGAAGATTAGACTCTAACAATGCAAATTTCACTGCGACTGGTCAAGGAAGTGATAAATTTTATTCATCTTATCGTAAATCGTAAAAAATGGCAAAAATCGCGCAACGTTTATTTATTTACCAGCTTTGTACCAACAAATTTACAGAAAAAGAGCTAATAAAAATTTTTGTTTAAAATGATCTCAGATACATTTTTTGCTTGAAACATTTTTTCCTACGGCGTATAAATTTTTGGTAAATCGCTGTTTTCCGTCTCCCCCACTACGTGTGGTAGGAGTAGCAAATCTCTTTTAGGGTCCCAAAATTGATATCCTCTCAGCAAACTTCAGTTTATTCGTCTCGTTTATAGAGGTCAAATCTCTGACGACTGGACTACGTATGGAAGTTCTACTTTATGAACCCTGAATATGTTTTGGACTCTTAACGATGATTTATTACTGTACATTGTTTTGAAGTCCTTTATTATGTAACATCTCTCTTTGCAAATAGTTTTCTTGCATTATAATTATGACAGCATATTGTATTGAATTTCACGAGTGCTTGCCGTTTCTCACATCAAAAATCATTTTTGCGTCGTTACAAACCAATCCACCGCTTTAATCCGGCTAATGAAGCGAAGACAATTGCCTATGACTGTCGGAATGCGTGCTATTCATTTCGTAGATTAAAGCTCGTCGCTTTATTAAAATGCTTAGTAAAAGAGAATCGATGAGAAAGCCCAGGAAATGAGCCTGGGAAATAACACATTTAATAGATTTAGGTGGTTTAGAGCGAGCGATGAAGTTAGGAAGTAAAAAGTGCCAGTTTAATCTTCATAAAACGTTACTTCATTTTAAATATGAAAGTAGGACAGTTTATAATACACTTTTCCCTTTAATATGCACGAATTATATTGGGATTATCTTTCAGTAACGAAGACTAAAATAAAATATGTTCATCGTCAGAGATCTTGAAGTTCTGAAGTCTATTCGTGTAATATATGTACATACAGTGTTACCAATTAAGTCCAAATGGGATTTTTTTTATTTTTAGTTTAACGAAAAAAGTTATCCCTTATAAAAAGTTCTCTGTGTTCTTAAACATAAAATACAATCATAAAATATTAAATTTTTTCATTCGTATACGAGGTTTGTCACTTAACGGTTAATTATTGCTTACTTTCCGTGTCCGAAACACCAACAGCTTTAAATTTTGTATTTCCAATGGTTTGCCACAAAGAGGCCCTTGTCATTCGTTAAAAATAGGTCTTCTGTGCAGGTCTATCTCATATATGTACATGATAGTAGATGGTGACTATTCTGAACCGCGCCACAGTTCTGGTATCCCCAATTCTTCAGGTTACTAGCACAACGTGAAATGTCAGTTCTTAGTCTGTTTAGCGCGTTCCATGTGGGATACGGCAAATTGTGTCCCGCGGCCATTTTCCCTGAGGGGGCAAAATGTGTTATAGCTGACGCTTGCCATAGGTGTATTCGGCACGTCTTTGGCTCTTCGGGAAAGGATCGTGATTTTTTCAGAAAGCTTTTCCAAGATCTTAATCTACTTGGCTGAACTTGGTGGTCATACAAGGTGTGCCTTCGATCCATCTCCTGCTTCTTTTGTTCTATATCTGACGTAACCTGTCTTCTTATAGCAGGGGGAGCGAATCCAACTATACGGTAGACCTCTTCGATAGGGATCAGTTTCAGGTTTCACGAACCGAATCATTTAACGCAATATCGACGTTTTTAGTGTGAGCTGAGTTTTCTCACACTGGTGCTATAGACTTGGCGGCAGAAAAACATAATGCTAAAGCAGAAATATGGAGATTGTGTGGTTGTGCTCCCCATTTTGTATTTGTTAGTTTGCGGATAATATTATTTCTGGCGCTTACTGTTTTCTTGATATCTTGACAGTAATATCGATAAGACAGAGTTCTATCCAGACGTACGCCGAGGTATTTTGGCATCTTATTGTGTTCCAGTATCATAATTATTGCTTAAACGTTTCGACTATATTTATATATAAGGACTAATATCATCTGAGTTTGTGTAGTGTCGTTTGCCATTAGTGCAGAAAATGAAGACTGTTTTTATTTTATTTAAACTTTGCTCACTACATATCTAAAGCATCCAGTCTAAGGGTCTCCATAGACGGACTGCTTAGATCAGTCAGTATAAAACAGCTTCAAGCGGTCGCTGTTGAGCGATCTCCAGTTTAATACAACAGTAAAGTTTGCATGCTGCGAACCACTTGGAGCTGTCTGCTCAGACTACTCGCGCGTCCTCGCTTTTGCGCGTTCCGATTCGATCATGTATTCATCATTGTACCACACTACAGAATACTACCTGCTTTCAAGAAAAATGCGAAATATAACTGATTTGGACGATGACTTGTTTATAAATGAAATTAAATCACAGGAATGTATATGGAATTATCTATGTGGAACATACATCGATATAATTGTTAAAAATTGAGCTGAGGATGTGCATATCTACTCTTAGAAAAGAACTACAGTCTATTTGCATAAATTCACATGCCCTTATGATGCCATATGATTTTGAAGTTATCTTTTGTGCCTTTTACAGTATACAAATAAACAAGTAATTTGTCACTTAGAATAAGAAAAAAATCATACGCATATAAATAGAAACATATCTCTAACGACCCTTGCTTCGCTTCAAATTTTGACTAAAAACAATACGGTCAGCCACTATGAATCTGGTTTATTAAATATTAAAACAAAATGACGGTATTAGATTTTGATTTGATACAGAGCAGCAACAAGCCGCATATACGTATTTCGATCTCTTTAGATCTCCTCAGTACGGTATAGCTACTACTCCATATCAAACCAAAATATTTTCCCGTCGTAGATTATAGTTATTAAAAATAACTATTTACGGACGTAACTACGCCACCTAAGAACAAAAAGAGAAATCATACGATTTCTACCTGGCAAAATCGAATTCAAATATAAGCCGCCGTGCTCCCTAAAACTTGCGAAGCAAACAGCTTGATGAATGAATCGGAGTAGTAGCTATACCGTACTGAGGAGATCTAAAGAGATCGAAATACGTATATGCGGCTTGTTGCTGCTCTGTATCAAATCAAAATCTAATACCGTCATTTTGTTTTGTTTATTTACTTCATTTGGAGTACCAGAAATCGAATTCACTACGAATATAGGCCATGATGAACGGCATTTGGAGTGCAATTTTTAGACTCCCTTGCCGATTCATTCATCAAGTTGTTTGCTTCGCAAGTTTTAGGGAGCACGGCGGCTTATATTTGAATTCGATTTCGCCAGGTAGAAATCGTATGATTTCTCTTTTTATTAAATATTAGTCTGGAAAATAACGTTCGCATATTATTCTCTACTTGTCGTTTAAATTCCAATTTTCTAACCTGATTAAATCAATAAATACTCAATATTTCCGTGTTTGGCTTAAAACGAAAGTATCTAACTTGGTACATTTTGTTACAGAATACTTACACCAACGCCGACAAGCTTCTGGCCGCTGCTGAGGAACTCGCTCATACGGGCGAATGTGATCCCGACGAGATTTATTCAGTAGCCCATGAACTGGAGGCTCACGTGACTTCTTTCGCTGCTAGAGTCGAACAAAGGAGGCGAAGGCTAGACTTAGCAGTACTATTTTACACGCACGAGAAGGATCTTAGCAATTGGGTGGATGATCTCAGACAGGAGTTGCAAGTAAGAATTTTATCTCTTAATATTTTTTGTCTTTCCACAGGTGCTCGGTAAATATATGGTATATTATAGTATCATCAATTAAGTACACATTAGTTTATCTTTTAAAATTTAAGAAGTACTAAAGGTATCGTGATGGGTTAACATGTTGCTTTTGCTTAAACTTTGTGGTATGGCCTCTTTAAGTGGAATATCTTTGTCAATTCCATTAAAAAAATACTATATACAAACGAGTTGTTTAACTTGTATTGTAAGTTGCGTATGTTTGTTTTATAAGAATACTTTTTAAACTCATTTACAATATAGTTCATCTTTAACGCTTGCTTAAAAAGTAACTCACCTCTTCTTCTTCTTCTTTAAGTTCCATCTTCTATCGAAGGTTGGAAATCATCATGGCTATGCGGACTCTGTTGACTTCCGCTCTAAAAAGTTCTGCACTACTGCATTCAAACCATTCCCTTAAGTTCTTAAGCCAGGATATTCTTCGTCTTCCCACATTTCGCTTTCCTCGGATTTTGCCCTGCATAATAAGTTGTAATAATGCGTATTTTTGCCCTCTCATCACATGTCCCAAGTACTCAAGTTTTCGTCTTTTAATAGTTAATATTATTTCCGTCTCATTTCCTATCCTTCTAGTTACTTCCATGTTTGACATTATTTGAATCCATATTCGTAGGATTCTTCTGTAATACCAGAATTCAAAGGCGGCCAACTTATTCAGATGAACTTGTTTTAGTGTCCAAGCTTCCAAACCATAAAGAAGAGTAGAGAACACGTAACATCGAAGCATTTTTAGGCGTAGTTCTAACCTTATATCCCGACAACAAAGAAACTTTTTAAGTTTAATAAATAATGTACGTGCTATTTCAATACGTGTCTTAATTTCTTTGGTTTGGTCTACATCTGATGTTATCCATGTTCCTAAGTATTTATAGTTATTAACACTCTCAATTGCAGTATCTTCAATAGTCAATTTTAATATTTGCATGTGCAAATTTAGTCATGATCATGCATTTAGTTTTCTTTAAATTTATCTTCAGTCCTTACTTATGACAGCGTTCATTAAGGTGTTGCATTACGTTCTGTAAATCATTGTTGTTATCCGTAATTATTACTGTATCGTCTGCAAAACGTAAGTTATTCAAAACGTCTCCATTGATAGATATACCTTCTATTGAGTCTGAGAGCGCTTCTTGAAATACCGCTTCACTGTAGACATTGAAAAGTAGTGGGGACAGCACGCAACCCTGGCGGACTCCTCTCTGTATTTTGATATTTTCGGTGTACTGGCTGTCAACTCTTACCTTGGCACTTTGATTCCAATATAAATTAGATATAATTTTCAGATCACGACTGTCAATATTTTTGCTTTTTAATATATCTACAAGCTTTTTATGTTAAACTTTATCAAATGCCTTTTCAAAGTCTACAAAACATAAGTACATATCCTGATTCATGTCCATGCATCTCTGAGCCAGCACATTCAAGCCGAACAAAGCATCTCTTGTACTCATACCATTTCTAAAGCCAAATTGTGTGTCACTAATCTCATATTGAAGAGCTTTAACAATTCTGCTGTGAATTATTTTCAAAAATGTTTTAAGTGTGTGACTCATTAAAGCTATTGTTCTGTGGTCTGAGTAAGTTGTTGAACTTGGTTTTTTGGGAATTGCTACAAAGGTTGATTGCAGCCATTGTCTGGGGATTGTGACAGTCTGATATATTAGATTAAAGAGTTCAACCATCACATCAATAACATATTCATCGATGAGTTTTAATAATTCGATGGGCACCTCATCGGATCCAGTAGCTTTACCCTCTTTTGTGTTTTTGATGGCATAGATGACTTCTTCTCTTAATATTGGTGGTCCAGCATCCTCGGTGATTTCTAATGACAGTTCTTCTCTTTCATCATTAAATAGTTGTTGAATGTAATTGGTCCAGTGACATAATCTCTCCTTCATATATCAGTAATAATATTCCCTTTATCATTTTTAAGGATATTCGTTTTTGTACGCTTTCTAGAACCTGTCATTTCTTTGATTTTTTTCTGTAAATTAAAGCTATCGTACTTTTTATCCAGATCTACATAACAGTATAATAAAAAAGTATTTCTTTGGTATTGTTTCTCCATACAATATACCCACTGTAATAAGGTGTACGCTAAAATAGAAGTGAGCTGGTCAAGGAGATAAAGTTGCATTGGTAATTAATATTATGTTAAACTATATGGTAGGTTAAGAATACAGTTTTTGGTATTTTTTCTGTTCATCAAATATAATAAAGTGACGATAATCCAAATTATTAAATGCAAAAGCGGTGTTATGATCGAACGACTAAATAGCTGAATATTTGTATATTTATCCTAATATTGAAATATATCATAATATATGTATTTATTTAATAGATAAAGTAGTTTGTAAAGGCAGTCTAATATATTTTCTAATTTTAAACAAAACCTTCTTGTATAAAATTAAAAACTATCAGGTGCAAGAAAATGGTGTGTCTTTTTGAAGGCACACTTACTGCTGTACAATATAACAATGAGATACCACAATGAGACACTTAGAGCATTCATAAATTAACTTGAGGATGAAAAATTTCAAAATGGGTATCTATTATTAATTATGGTTTAACAACACACAACCAGAGAAACGATTCAATAACTTTAACTTTTTTATGACAGAGTAATTAGCACAATCTCTAGTAAATGTCTTCAGTCTGTTCCTTTAAGGGCTCCTATACATTAGTTGTATTAGAGATAATTCAAGTAAGTTCATTCTCTTAGCGCTTCAGATCATTTTATTTCGGTTACCTCCATATTTTTCTGCCTGAACCCTCTTTACAGGTCACATTTCACGACCATACACTAACTCAAGGCTCACCACAGTCTTTCTTTTTAGCCCTTCACCGACTTTTCGACCCGCTCATTCGCTTCCAGTTAAACGAACCAGTCTGTATCCTATAGGTATTTAAATTTTCCTACTCGTCCGGGGTTTTCTATAAGCAATTCGATGTCCCCAAAGATTCTTCTTCCTCCTTACCACATATACTCCGTTTCCAACCTGCTAACCTGAACTACTCACTCTTCAACAACCCTTCTCCAAAATTCCAACATTTCTTCGCTCTCATTCACTAACATGATATCATCTGCAAAGAGAATTAACAGAGAAGGTAAGAGAAGGATCCCCTTCTCTTACCTTCTCTGTCAGTAAATCCATAACAAGATTAAACATAAAGGGACTCAGTGAAGGGATTTGATTCAAACCAACCCTCACTGGAAAACTTTAAGTCAATCCGACAAAAGTCCTTTCTTTGGTGTACGCTCCTCCCATACATATCTTTCACGAGCCTTACGTATCTCTTGGGAACCTTAGGAACCAATATATTTCTCTCTGATTCATCTCTATATCTCTTGTTTATGAACTGAGTCGTATGCCTTTTCAAGATCTATAAATACCAATCATTTCTTCTCGTCTTATTTCACTATCATATATTGACGTTTAATAAAACTTATACACTATTATTGACATTGACATTCACAAAAAAGAACATGGACAAGATTCGAAAAACTCAGCGAGCCATGGAACGACAGATGCTTGGTATCTCACTAATAGATCGGCAAACGAACTAAGCAATCCGGAACAAAACAAAAATAAAGGACGCCGCGAAACAAGCAGCTAAATTAAAATGGAAATGGGCTGGCCACAACGAACGTCTCGAAGATGGTAGATGGAACAAAGAAGTCGGAAACTGGCGACCGTACGATGCGAAGAGACCAAGAGGAAGACCTCAAATGCGCTGGAGCGACGATATCAAAAGAGTCGCAGGACCAATGTGGAAACGCCTAGCACACAACAGGGATGAATGGCGAGAAATGGGAGAGGCCTTTATTCGACAATTCGGATAGAAAAAGGGCTATAAAAAAAATACATTATTATTACTCCAGTTATGTTGTGTGTATACATATATAACATAGTTTGTAGTTTATTCCAAAAATATATCCCTTAGCAATCAAGGTGCATGTACTTTATTCTACAATAATTAAGACAAATGCATCTTATATATCTGCAATTTACTTATTGCACCCATCCTTTCAATCCTACAATTACGAATATATTCCACTCCGTTGACCTATATAATCTATCAGACGACAGGACGAAGTATCTGAGTGAATTCCTTATAGTAATTGATATCTCTTCTTAAAGTAAGTAATTAATCAAATCTGTAGGTAGCGTAATTGAACGCCGGATTTGTGTTTTGCGATTATGAATATCGATTAAAGTATTATCTACGTATATATCCTTCCGTTGTGCCATTTTAAGGAGTTAAATGGGTTATACTGTTATACTAACGTTTCACAGAGATTTAAATAAAATAAATTATTGTCAACATTATAATATTATATTTTTAATTGATTATAATGTTATAAAAGTGAATTCTAATTGAAAAGACTTTACTCCTGAAAAAATCTGACTAGTGCTGGACCAATATTATTTAGTGTAGAAAATTTCCTCAAAAGATTAAATGCTCAAAGGTAAATATAGTTATACAAAAACCGGGTAAACCAACAGACTGTCCAAACACTTATCGTACAATTGCTATGTTGTACTTATTCGAAAATAGTTATATTACACTTAAGTAACCTGTTTGCACTTAAGGTCAGGTACCTCCAAACAATTTTTAAAAGATCGAAAATTGTTTTTTCAGAAAATGAAGCGCTCCAAGCGATGAATCTAGCCATTCAAGCAGGCCGGGATTTTTTTTATTTAATAAAACTCCAACAGGAATCTTATGATTATTGCTATCTGATCATTCACTATGATCAATAAGCAAGTTAGTTCTATATACAAAATATTACAAAAAACTGATCTAAAGTTACATTCAGCAATATTCCTTAGGCTCTAATACATTACAGTACAACTAGCTAACGTGTACACTTTAGCCGCACTTTGATCTGCTTTTTTACTTTCACTCACTTATAGCACTAACTCAAATGGCTTCGTTCTCTTAAGTCTTCTTATCTAGTTGTCTAGGAGTTTGATGGCCTAGACATTCACGTGGTTGGAGAGCCTTTATTCATGACTCTCGACAAACTTACTTATTGTCTGCATAACCGTATCCATCTATAGGTCTCGATGAAGATCGCAGTTTCTGAAGTACCATGGAGAGTTAACGATGTTCCGTAATACTTTACTCTGATATCGTTGTATATTTTGGATGTTAGTTTATTTTGTACAGCCCCGTAGCTGTATCTCGTATGTCCATATCGGTTTAAGGACTTGGTTATACAATAACAATTTGTTATAAGTAGACGGAGTGGATTTTTTTCCCATCAACCAGTACATCTGTCTGAAGTTAATTTCTAATTCCTCCTAATGTATGTTGTATCTCCAGTATGTTGGCTTTCCCGTTGATATTTTGTCGCAGTTTATGTATTTCACTACTTCTAAAAATTCTTTCCCTTTGGTGGTAGTCAGTCGTGACCCCCAATGCGTAGGTTTTGCATTGAAGTGTCCTCAAACGATAAATATATGTCCTTGACTGGTCAGGAAATCTACATATTGATTTTTCTTGATGGCATGTCTTGGCGGACTGTAAACTGCTGTGACGATTACCTCATAGTTTTTACATTTAATTTTTACTGATTTGCCCTGAAATTCTTTAGTTTTGTATCCCATTTCATGATAGTGCATAATATTTTCTTTGATTATTACTGAACTTCCTCCTTTGGCTGCTTTATCAAGGTGAATCGTATGATATACCCCTATATCTAATATATGACTCATTCGTAAAATGGGTTTATTTTGTTCTATATCTAGTATCGCTTGGACCCTTAGCCGGGTGCCCTTCTCCACAGTGGACACATTTAGGTTTTGCGTAATTGGGTTTCTTACATTTGGCTGTTAGTTGTTTTCCTGTGCATCGGACACATCTTGGTTCTTTCATACATTAAACATTGTGTGTGTCCATATGCCTGACATCTCTTACATTGAGGTACCAATTTTGATTTTCTTAGCGGAAGTGTTTGTACTTTTACGTTCATGATATCTGTGATCTCATAGATTCTATTGATATTTTCGTCATTTCTGAATACCAACATAAACACATTTAGTAGTTGCTTTGTTTTGTATTTTAATTTTGGTATGACATTTATTATCTTGAATCTTTTATTACTTAAATCGTTCATGATCGAATCTTTACTGGCTGAATGATGTAACTTATTTACCATAACTTTATTGGGTTCGCTTTGCTTATTTTCATACGTGTGCCATGGATACTTTACTTCACTCAACTTTTCGTTAATTTTCTGAAGTCTTCTTCACTATCAACATTAATTTTAGCGCTCTTATCTCCAAGTACTTTTATCTGGGATTTAGCAGTATATAGTCTGACTAATTCATGAAATGTGCTAAATTCGGCAATACTCTCCACAATTATTGAAAATGGGATTTGTGTTTTTCTAGTTTTTTCTTCTCTTTGTTGGACATATGACTCTTTTTGTGGTGGGATCAATGATGTACTCATTTTACGTTTTTTGAAGTTTTTGACACGTATCCACTCTGTCTCCTCAGCTAATTCTTCCTCGTCAGTATGAAATTCCTCATTCTTAGGTTCTTTCTCTTTGGACAAATTTTTGTCTAGGTCTGCAAATTTTAATTGCAAGCTATCATTTAATTTTTGTAAGTTACCTAACTAGAGTTGGAGCTGATTTACTCTATCCCTAGCGTAAATCTTCTCCATTTCCGTCTGTCTCCATACCGTGTACAGCATCTGTTCATTCTGGAACCTTGCATAATTTTTCTGAAAGAGGGTACTATTTTGTTGTATTAACAGTACCTCGTCAGGTGTTTGCGGACCCGCATTTTGTTGGATCATTTTAGCGAGAACCAACAATCATAGCAGTCACTAGGTGCCGTTCATTATTTCTAACCAACCGCACGGACTATAAACAATTTTGGATTTATCCAAATGTAATTTGGATTTATCTTACCAGTTTTTGTCACTTTAATCTATTTTTGATTTAATTATCAAATGATAATTAGCAGACACGGAAACACATAACCTTTATGATACGAGGTTTAATGAATACTAAGCGGGCCGGGATTAGCTGTTTACTTTAATAGGCTTTCCTCGAAACCACACTTTTTCAACTGGGTATCACTAATATTTGTACAAATATAAAGTACAAAGTACCAAGAACTCTTTGATGATAATAGGTCCTAACAACCTACGTCCTACATATGTAATGACCAGTCACCAATCAGTGGAAGGAAGGAAGAATCAGAAAGAATCAGTGTGAATTGTCAACCAATAGAAAGTGTAAAAACATATACCTATCTTGGTAAGAACGTCGATGAAAATTAGGACCATTGCCCAGAAATCAAATGTAGGATAGAGAAAGCAAGATATGCATTTCAAAAAATAGATCAGCCATTCAAATGCCATGATTTATCAATACCCTTAAAAATAGGTTACTACGGTGTTATATCTCTCCTATACGATATACATCATATAGGAAATATACGAACAGACGCTACCTGTACAAAAATGAAGAATTTCGAAATGAGGCTTTATCGACGAATGCTGTAGATATTCTATAACGATCACGTTACTAACCCAGACGTTTTATTAATAATGTAAATAGGAAAAGAGTTGTTAACCACAAGAAAAACAGCCAAAATTGAATACTTCGGTCACATTATGAGGAATAGCGAAAGGTATGGATTGCTGCAATTAGTTTTACAAAGAAAAGTAAAAGGAAAACGAGAACCAGGAAGGCGAAGGATTTCCTGGCTGAGAAATCTACGTACGTGGTTCAACACAACAACCACAAATCTTTTCAGAGCAGCAGTGTGCAAAATACACACTTCCATGATGGTCGCCAACACCCAAAGCGGATAGAAACTACAAGAAAAAGATCATTCATATTTTAAAACTATTTCACTTACCAATATGAAGCAAACAGAATTTTCCTCTTTAGATATCTCTCCATGGTCTGTACGAACATCAAAAATACCCACACCTCCCTCCCACCTCCCACACACGTTACCCGTTTGTATAATCTAACCCATGATACTATGAATAACAAGATAGGATCTTCCCGTAGCTCAAAATCGGTCGGATTCGCGCATGCCGTCATTGGAGACTAGAATTTGAATTCTTGTTAAAGTTAAATGAGATTTGTATGCATTCTGTGATGAAATTACTAGACGAAAATAAGTTAAGAGGTTTAATAATTACAATAATCGTACACCTAAGGATATCTCCAAACTATTTATTAAAGATTATTTATTGATATATACAAAAACTGACATTTCGAACGTGCAAGTCTCCAATGACGTCACAAAAACATGCGCAATATCTTATCTTATAGTCATAGTATCATGATCTAACCTAACTTTATTTTGTCGCTTTTACAGAATGATGAAAGCGTGGCTGAAAGCCTAGAAGCAACAGAGCGGCTCCTGGAACAAACTGCCCAGCATCGCGAACAAAGCCTTGACGCTTGTGCATCGACAATTGCACAAGGGGAGGCATTACTTCAAGAACTGCGGTAAGAATAAATATTTTTTAATTATAATATCATTATATTGGAGAAATTTCTTTATATTTCGTTCCAGAATCTTTTAAAAACAATTTTCAAATTGGAAATCGTCTAGCTTTGTTCCCTCTGTCTATCCTTATGTTATATAGTTACCTTCTAACCGTTGCCTGTCTTGTGTTGTAATAAAGTCGCTATGAAAGGCACCTTAGCGTGAAAAGTATCCCTATATTATGTAATCCCTTGTGGGTCCTAAATATTGTTGGCTAGGGCATTGAATGGAACGAATGAATGTATGGTTTTTTATCAAGCTACTGATTCTTGTGATACTGATGTTTACACTATATTTTTAATTTACCTCTATGCGAAGTACTATTTTGTTAACAAATGCAATAGGTCAATACATCATTAACAAATTCAAGCAGTCAAATACATTATCGTGGCTGAATGGATCAAGTATCCAAAGCCATTAATTAAATTAAAAAAAAATTGGAAATCGAAACGTCGAAAATAAAAATTACAATGATTAATAATTGTAAGGTAAAGTCACCTATTACCGCACCAGTTAAGGAAAGTTAAATATTTCGTTGGAATATTTTTATATTTTTATGGTTACAAAAATCTCTTAGAATTTATCTGAACACATCTATATTATGTTTCCAAATAATTAAATTATTTTTCCAAATTTTAATTTTTATTGCTAAGAAAAAATACTAATTCAAAATCGAGCAAATTTTCATAATACCGACTTACTAGTAATATTTTTACCTATTACCGATTTTTTATAACCTATTACCGATTGTGAGATAACAACAGATGTTATCAACATCGTCTATATTCAGTAAAACACCCCTGACTATAAAAAAGTGTTTATTATATTAAGAAAAGCAAATAAAATATATGAAATTAAACTAAAAAAAATTTTCTATTACCTTCTCAAATTTTGATTATAAAAAATACAATTATACAAAATACTATTATAAAGTTTAAGACAGTTTAAGATTTGCTAAAATTTTTGGTCAATTCCTTTATTTTCGGTACGGAACAAATACCTCTTTTATTTATTAATTTAGGGGGTTCAATTTTGGAAATTATCTCCTTTACTTCATAAGTTAATATATCGTCCTTCTCTGGCCATTTCCAATTTGGTCCAGTTGCCTCCATAGATTTTACTATAACTTCATTTTGTGCTCCATTACTATTTATATCACAAACAATTGATAGGAAAGTCGTCCTTCATATATTGTAACAACAAAATCGTCTTTTATGTATATGTTTTTTTAATTTTTTTTATTAGTTTGGGGATTTGTGAACTATTTAGTTTCGGTTTCTTTTTCTCGGGCTCAGTCGCATGCTTTTGTCTAGACTTCTCCGTTGATATTGCTACGGTTGCGTTTCGGGTTGCTTCTAGTTTTAATTTCGTCTCCTTTTTGAATTTTCGTTTTCCTTTCTCATTTTCTTTGTTTTCACGGTCAACTTCAAGTCTTCTCTGATACTCGATAAATTCGTCAGACGTAGCAACGGTAGGGATAATTCTTTTGGTAACTTTTTTGTTTGTCGATTGTTCCAATCTTTTAGGAAATTAAAACGACTTATTATTAAACGACTTAGCTATTCTATTATACACCAGCTTTGTTACTCTTCTTGCTATTACTTGCTTCTCCTTGGGACATAAACAGAAAGCTGTGTCATCGAAGTTAAATATTCGGGATTCATCCTCAAAAATATTCATAAGATTGTTGCTGATGAAATAATCCCCAAGCTTTCTGAACCACTCTCTAATACTTTGCTCACTGATATTCCTCCCATTTGCGGTAAGAATTTGGGACACTCTTGTACTAACTTCAGGATGTTTTTCAATGAATTTTTGTAACCAGTGATTTCCGGGAATACCATCTTTAAATGGATTTTGTCGGTCCAAGTTTTTAATCAGATTAGCTACTGTGTGTATTAATTGGGATTTTGTGACAGGGATGGAACCCTTGTTTCGCCAAATAAAAAATCCAAACCACAACACACTTTTCTTCATTGGCAGCAAGCACAGGTTGCACTCCACACTTGGGATTTTTATCTTTAACTGGTAATCTTTCTGAACGTTTATCCCGTAAAGTGGTCTTTGGCAGTCCGACTCTTTTAGATGCCTCGTAAACTGACATCCCTATTTTTATAGCTTCCAAGGCGCTAGACAATTTTTCTTTTGAATATTGTACACGTATTTTTGGTGCCATAACACCTTTTTTAATGCATCGGTATTAGGCTATGGTATTTGCTATTATCGAACCAATAGGTCGGTAAATTGATTTCAATATGGTCGCACTTATCCTAATACCGACTGTGTAAAACTTGAGACAAATGACTGAAACACCTTTTTCTTGTTAATTCAAGATTTTACCAATTACCGTAATTAAATATATCAAAAGTTATATCTATATTAACTACATTATTCAGGGGAATTGGACTTAACAAAATATTAACACGTTTGTCCCTCCAGACAAAGAAAGTTTTAGAATATTAGGTTACTCAGAATATAAATCATGGGTCGGAAATTGAAAAAAACTCGACTTAATACTATCTGTACTTAAGAAATGAACAATCACGGTACAGCTACACAGCAAAGCAAAATATTAAATTATTAAAATAAAGGTTTTCAAACCTAATACCGACTTTTGGTCGGTATTAGAAATATCTATACCTATTACCGACTCATTATGTTTTTACGATTTTTTCATTAAATACTGCAAATCTTCGAAAAATTACTACATTATATTATAGACAACATGTCTGGAAATGTCTTCAAACTTTATAATAAATATATAAAAATATCTACTTGGATTTTATGCTTAATTTCTTTATTTGTGTACTTACCCTTTTAATGAATCACAAGCGCACGTAACCTACACTCTACGAAATATGACTATAAACTAATTCAAAGTGTAATTTAAAATTTTAGTTTTCAAATATTTTATAGCTAAACATTCTCGTTTATATTTTTTACACTTTTCATAATTATTTTTATATATTTTATAGGTCCATCGCGGAAATGGACACAACTGGTTCAGTAGCTGCAATAGAATCTGCTCTGGACCGATTAGCGAAACAAAGAAACGATCTCGAAGAATTGTGGGCTGCCAGAAAACTCCGTTTAGATCTGTGCCTGAGATTGCGGTTGTTCGAAAGGGACGCTTTAGAAGTATCCTCCCAGCTGGAGATGTGGTCTGAGGAATTACAACATAGCGAACTAACCAGAGATATTCCGAAGGCTGAGCAGTTTTTAAGATTGCACAACGAAAGTGTTAGTCAGATGCAAAATACGACTTATCAAGTACTACAACAAGGACAAGATCTGGTGCAGGTCTTTGAGAATTCGGGGATTTGTGTGATGGCAGATGCTCAGTATAATGCTCAGACAAGGGTAAGCATAACCACATTCTATAAAAATTGAAACATGTATTTGGTTTTGAATGCAGATAAGTATAAATCAAAAGTATTAACACAAAAAATAATACAAACTCTAGTGAGTACGTCTAAAAATTATGTGGCAAAAATAATTATAAAAAAATAATTAATTATCCTGCTGGAATAAAATTCATTTCTATATTTAACAAATTACTTCATGTATAAATCATTTATCCTCAAATCTAGAATTCGTTGGAAAATAATCATAATGAATGTGAATAAATGCCATGTTTCTAAAATAACAGTCTCTCGCTTAAGTGGAAATGGTTCGCGAAGTTACACATTCTATTTCAGTTTTATTAACCTACGTGTTTTTAATTTATATTATCTCAGGAGAAGCTGCTGACTATGGAATGTGTACAATATTGACCATGGTAATTATTACTGGCTCTTTGAAACATATTCATTCTATGTCAACTAGTCTCTATACACACTAGCTGACATAGCACCACCAGATGTAAGAAAGAGAGTGGCAGCTGAAATAAAGAGGACGTAGAAAACAGTTTTATTGTGCTTGCCTCCAAATCAAGGCGACTTCATTCACTTAATTGAACACCTCAGGACAGAAGACGGATTGTACTGTGGAGAGAGTGTACCAGACAATATTTACCTGCAGCCTAATAAGCCACACGCACCTAGATATGAATTACTTTACACCAATTGGTGAACTCTCAATAGGCTGAAGGATGTGTTAAACTCCAGGAGTAACAAGGAGTTAAGTGGAGCTACGCTGTGGATGGTCGTTGTTATTGTGATGACCAGACTAGATCATCTATGTATTTGTACAAATATGAACTATGTATGTACTTTATAAGATATTTTTGCTTACAATGACCGTGTCAAGTAAGTTGTACAATTCTGGTGTATAAACTTTATGGTTAATGGGATGTGTATTTCTGATTCGGAAAATAACTACTATATTAAAGTGATCGCTATTAGTTATATGGAACAAAGAGATCAAAGAAATCAAGGCTTTAAACCGACCCAATCGTGTTGTGAAATTATCGCGTTTATATTTAATTTTTTATTACATATCGGAATTTTTCTTATTACAGGTTCAAGTCTTACTCGAATTTCTTCACGATAGAGAAATGGATCTGGAAGAACTAGCTGAAATGAAGCGCCTTAAACTGGAACAATGCATCCAACTCGGTCAGTTCCAAAACGACGCTAACCAAGTCATTAGTTGGATAAGAAACGGAGAATCAATGTTAATGGCCAGTTTTACCATACCCAATAGTTTATCGGACGCAGAACTCTTGAAAAAGGAACACGAACAATTTCAAGTAGCCATCGAAAAAACACACACGTCAGGTAAGAAGCAGTTGAATATTATACAGTTTTGGGTTTATTTTATATATTCTGGGGCGTATAAAAATAAGAATGTTTCCACGAATATGAGATATTGTTTGTAAAAATCCTACTCTTGCTAACAATAATTTAAAAAAAGATTTTTTATAAATCATCATCATCATCTTTAGCTCTACAACCCTGGATGGGTCTTGGCCTGTTCAAGAATTAGTCTCCATTCCCCCCTATCTTTCACCCTAGCTTTCCAATTTCTGACCCCTAGATTGTAACGAAGATATTTTGCCTACCACAGGGGGCATTAACACACGGGGGTAGAAAATTGGGGGAAGAAACTAAAGGGGTGGAGATAGGGCAAGCAAAATAATCGCTACTTATGCGAACGGCACTCAGGGTTTCGTAGGAGAGCTGGGGTCGTGGATAAGTAAAAGATAAGGGCATTGGAATGGGGGAACTACAAAAAAATGAAATAAAGGGCTCTTGGGATAAACAAAATAAAATTAAACAGAAAACACCTCAAGAAATTTGATATAGGGCGCCACTTGAGGTGCCTAATTATGCCTATTACAACCACTAGTTGTAACTAGGGAAATAATTAGAAAACAAAATCAAAACATAAAAAACATATCTTTTTCAAATAAACTCAAAAAGGGTTAGCTCAAAAAAATAAATAAAATGTTAAGACAACAAAATTTAACATTTATTTATGTGTCACCACAAACAGTTACATGGAGAAATACAAAATTCAAAAACTTACATGTGTCATCCATTAACAAACTCCATTGCTACAAAACTTACACAATTGCATGGAGGTTAACCTTTTTAAACAAAAAAAAAAAAACAAAACAAATGAACATCAAAAATACTAAAACGAGCTGTCATAAATTAACATTAAATTCTAAAAAAAAACCAAACACAAATTGACAGCTTTACTCAAAACAAAATTTATAATTTTAAATGTCAACGAAAGCAATTATTATTTTATAAAAAATTATATCAAAAATATATAAGGTGATTTTAATATTTCGTATACGAGGGGACTTCAATATACTTCAAAGAATCAATGAAATTGAAAATGCTACAAGATTCCTTAAGTCATCTTCGACTTGAGTTTTAAATCTAGATCTTGGTCTGCCTCCCTTCCTGGTTCCTACTGGCTCTTGGTATAATATCTGTCTTTGGAGGTCTCCAGTGTCCATTCTTTCAAGGTGTCCTAGCCAACTTAGTCTATTAATTTTAATAGACCGGACGATGTTGCATTTTTCATACAATTGATACAACTCAAAATTGTAGCACCTGCGCCATATCCCGCTTTCTTGTACTCCTCCGTGTATGTGTCTAAGTATTCTTCTTTCAAAGCGGCCTTACAGTTTTTCGTCGCTTTTTACCATAGTCCAGGTCTCTGACGCGTATGTCAGGACACGATTAATAAGAGTTTCATATATTAGTATCTTGGTTTTTCTGCTAATTATGTGTCATGTTAAGAACTGCTTTAGTCCAAAGTAAGCTCTGTTACTTTTCTGTATATTATTCTCTTAATTTTTACGCTTACTAGGTTGCTGTTACTTAGTTGTGTTCCAAGATATATAAACTCCGAAACCCCTTCGAATGTGTGTGCTTCTGTCACCAGATCTTGTGGTGCCGCTATTTGTGTGCTGTTCGTGACCTTCATGTATTTTGTTTTGGATACGTTGACCTACAGTCCCATTGTCTTCGCGGCTTTTTCTAATGTTTCAAAAGCCTGTATCAGGTCTATTTTTGTCCGTGTTACTATGTCAATGTCATCCACATAGGTTAATATTTGTACACTTCTATTGATGTCGTACCTCTGGTTGTTATACCCGATTTCTCTATGGCTCTTTCTAGCGCGATGTTAAACAATAGGCACGATAGACGGTCTCCCTGGCGTAATCCAGTATGTGTTTGAAAAGACCTTGGCACTCTGTTTTGTACCTTGACTTTGCACTCAACTTTCGAAAGAGTTGCCTGTACCAATGTTATTGGATGCGACGGAATATCTAGTTCTGCATGGAATTATAAAGTGCGCTACTGTCTACACTGTGATAAGCGCTTTTAAAATCTATGAAGAGGTGGTGGGTATCAATTCTATATTCATGTCTTTTCTAAGGTTTGTCTGAGCAGGAAAATCTGATCAATTGTGGATCTTTCTTTTTGGAATCCACATTGGCATTTGCCTATTTTTTCCTCAGTATATACTAGTAAACGATCATAAAGTATATAAGCCAGTACTTTGTATGTGAGTTTTCCTTCTCTCCAAATGGATGCAACAAGTTTTATTATGTATTGTTTTAGGGCGTTTGCTCCATACTTGAACAGCTCAGGGGGTATACCATCTTCTCCAGTGGATTTGTTGTTTTTTAACCTTTTTATTGCCTTGGCAACTTCTTCTTCTGTTGGTTTATTACTTTTATCCCTCTCATCATCTACGTCTCCACTGTGGTCATTTATGTCAGTCACTTCTTGGTTGCCTATATTTAATTTCTCAGCAAAATTCCGCCCATCCCTCCACTATTTGATCCGGCTCATTGATAATTTCGGCTTCCTTACTTTTTATTCTGTTTATTCTAGGTTTAAATTTTTTTCTGTTGTGGTTCACATGTTTATAAAATTTTCACGCTTCCCTTTGTGAATTGAGCCTTTCTAGTTCCTGTAGCTGGTTTTCTAAAGGTCGTTTTTTATTTTGTTTTAGTATCTTTTTCTCTGCTTGTCTCATCTGTTTGTATTCTTCTTGATTTTGTCTTGCCCTTCTGTTTTAGAGTTTCCCATACGCCTGATTCTTTTTTTTTTGTTTCTTCATTCCTACAACTGTTGTTGCTACTTCTTTCAGAATATTTTAACAGTACTTACTACTTATTTGGTCTTCTAGTTTTTCTTTAAGTTTGTGTTCAAATTTTCTAACTATCTCAGGGTTTCGTAGTCTGTTCACCTCGAATTTATCTTCTTCGCCTCATTTACCTTTTTTTGAGTTAGAGATTCGTGCCCTTAGTTTAGCCTGGACCAGGTAGTGATCGGAGTCAATGTTTGCTCCACGTCTGGTATGTACATTCATAACATCGCTCTAATGTCTTGCGTCCACAACTACATGGTCAATTTGATTGATTGTGTTACCGTCTTGGCTAATCCAAGTGCCTTTGTGTATATTTTTTCGCTCAAAGCATTTTTTATAAATATATAAACTAATGTAATCAACTATCAAGGGGTTACCAATTTCTCATGAAGATGGAATCATTTTTTGTGCGCACTTTCCAACTGCACTATGTTAAAAGGAAGTTGCACGCTGCTCGCTCGTCGGATAAAAATTGCGATAACTTTTTGATCATTCATTTTGGAAAGCTGGAACTTTCTATAAAACTTCTTTGAATATTGAATTTTAATGTAGAATGGGTTAAAAAAGGAGATTCAAAAATTTGTAATACAAAGAACCCCAGTTTTTTTCCTATGTAAAAGTAGTTGCAGTTAAATTGGCTCAAATTTTGCGAGAGGTAGCTTTGGTCATGCTGATCAAAAGTACTCTGTGTCCCAAGACTCAGAAATAATTTTTTTTTTTCAGTTATAGAGTTTTAAAGCGTCGGTTTTTGCTCCGTTTTTCAAAATCATTAATTTGGGAACGTATTCTCCCACACATTCAATATACTTTATTTTTTATTAGTTTAGGATTTTAGGATTTTGTGTTATAGTTAAATTAAAACATTTCATAAAACATAAAAAAATTCGAAATTTTTTAAATCATGATTAGGAGTGCAAAAATTTTTGATCGAAATTATTTTTCTCCTACCATCTTAATACGGTGTATATGTAAATATTATTTACTATTATTTCGGTTTGTCTAATAAAAAGTCAAATACACGCTCGAGTTTGTATATTGACATTTACTAGGAAAACAATTTTTTGTTTATGTTTATCTACAACTCGTGAAATTGTTTATTATTATAATAATGCAACCGTTATCGCAATCAAAACTTCCTTAACTGATAACGAATTCGTTTTTCAGCTGTTCAAGTGAAACATCGTGCAGATACGCTGATTAACGCGAATCACTACGACCCCCAAAGTATCAAAGACATTTCCGAAGAAGTTACCAAACGATGGCAACAACTTGTTACTTGCGCGGAAGAGAGGCATAAGTTGGTGACGGCTAGTTTGAATTTTTACAAGACCGCCGAGCAGGTCTGTTCTGTCCTTGACAGTTTGGAAAGGGAATATAGGTATGTATTTTAATATTGAAATAAATTTATTTTAACTTTGATAATATACAAGGCAAATATCGAGCACGGTATTAATTAAATCTTGCCCAAGTACTTTCGATCACTAGATCATCTTCAGGGGCATTTCGTCAATTGCGGCCTATCCGACAAGAGTGGAATGTCTTAAATATAAAATGATACATAACAATACACTACACAAAGACAAACACTTTAACATTTTTGAGGAAAGGTGAAGCTACATGGGACCTCCGGCTTCTATATACTCTGATAGGTCTTCTACTTCTATATACGGCAGGTTTCTGATATTCCTAAATGCCATATATCCTAAATTTTCGTAGTCCTGAGCTAAGACTATTTGGTCGTCTGCAAATCATAGTGTGTACAATGTTTCCTTTTCCACGTCCTCAGCTCTTACTCCAAGTAGATCTTAAACAAAGTCGGGGACAGACAGCATCTTTGATTGAGTCCTTTGTCTATCACAAATACTATGGATATCTCTTGGCCCATCTTTATTTTACTTGTGTTATTTTTATAGAGTATTTTCATTGCCTATTCTAGCTGTTTTTTTCCTTAGTGAAATCAGCTGTGAAGTACGAGAATTTTCTTTAATTTATGTAGTTTTGATGGTGATGTAAAATATACTTTATTTACAGAGTATAGACAGATTACCTCTGACAAATATGTATTGTTACAGTATTACTTTCTTATGAAATGTATTTCTCTTTCGATTGCTCTTAAATAAATTATTCAATTAACTTATTTTTAGGAGAGATGAAGATTGGTGCGCCACGGGCCAAGGAAACGTTGATAAAGCCACCGCTATATCACAACTGATCAACAAACACCAGGAACAGAAAGAAGCCTTTCTGAAGGCTTGTACTTTAGCTCGAAGGACTGCCGAAACATTTTTAAAATACACCACTCGAAGTCTACAGTTTTATAATTACTCGAATACTAGCGGAAACCACGAAGCTAGAGTTAAGGGAATATTGGAGAAGTTGCTGAATCAGGAGAATAAGGTGCTAGAGCATTGGACTCAGAGAAAAAAGAAGTTGGACCAGTGTCAACAGTTTGTTCTGTTTGAAAGATCTGCCAAACAAGCCATAGAATGGATCCATGAGACAGGTAAGATTTTACTATTAGCGTTATTTAATTCACATAATCAATGAGTATGTTACACTATGACATGTCATAGAGGGTAATGCTAGTACAAAAAAAGTACTTTACTTTACAAAAACTTTACTTTTATATTTTTGATAGATTATAAGTAATCATTTCTAGCAATAGTTAGAAATACACATTAAAAACATTAATGAGAAGAAAAAAAAAACAGTAAAATTTAATAACTATTATTTTGTTTTCTTTTTCCTGTCTTCCACAGAAGTTAGTTCTGACACCAAAATCTTATTTTCTTCTTCTTCTAAATGTGCCTATCTTCTAGAGATGTTTGCGACCACATTGACCCATCTTATTCTATTCACAGTAGCTTAAAATAGGTCAGTTGACGTTAGACCAGTCAATTTCCTAAGATCGGCCAGCCAGGATATACGTCTAGGTCCAGGGCCTCTCTTACCCTCAATCTTGCCTTGTAGAATCAACTGTAGAAGTCGGTATTTATCATTACGAAGCATTGAAGCATTAGAAATGTGGATTCATAGACGGATGCTGAAGATACCTTGGACAGCAAGAAAAACTAATGAGGAGGTACTACGGAGGTCAACAAAAATATATAATTGGTAAAGACTGTTAAACACCGGAAAATGTCTTTTTTGGGACATATAGTGAGGGAAAATCGATATAGAAACTACAAGTGGCTGGGCAATTGGTCTAAACTAAGGCCATTAATCTAAAGCCACACACAACACATACTACAACTGATCCTTAAAGGCAAAATAGAAGGCCGTAGAGATGTAGGAAGAAAACAGGTTTCTTGGTTAAAAAAAACATTCGTGAATAGACTCAGATATCAAAAGCAGGACAATTATTCCATGCTGCAGAAGATCTAGAAGCCTTCGCAATGGTGATTGCCAACGTAGGAGAATTCTGATATCGCACAACATGAACAACATATATTATTTTCAATTGGCGGTGAGAGGAAAGGGATCTTGACAGTTAGACTTACTTGGCGTCAGTGTTGGAAGCATGTTTGCTCTTTTAAAGCTGTAAAAGCATTGTAAAACCCTCGGTTGATATCAAATTTGGATCTTTCTTTTATATTTTGTTGGTTGTTTGTTGTAATAATGTTGATTATAGATGATGTGTCTCTCAGGTAACTTTTTTCCCAAAACGCATACACAGCTGTGTGGTTTGAGAGATAAAACTCGACTCTAATTTTGTAGATGGAATTCGAACCCTTATCTTACACACACGTGTGGTGTTATTTCGCAGATGCCTCGTTCTTGTAAATTAGTTCTTAAATCAGCTGTATTTTTCGTACAGGCTAAAACTAACAAAAGTCTTAATATTTTATAACTGTTTATCTCTCGTTGCCAAACTGCAACAATTAGTATTTTGAGTAACAAAAGGTGCTGATAAAATTTGTTTTTTTCCCTGATATTTTACGAATATTGCACCAGACTATAGTTAAACTATTTATATTTGAGACAAATTTTCTCCATTTGGTTTTTCGGGCAGTTTTTGTTATATATCTAGCATATGCTCTAAATATATGTTGGTGTGTGTTAATTTTCTCTAGATTTCGGTAACATATCCTGTATTTTCATTGGTGATTAACACAGCCAGAAATAGTAGTGATGAATTGTTTTGCTTTCATGTTGATCAGAACCACAAATAGGTGATAATGGATATAGCTCTCCAAGAAAAAGCCAGCCATTTAAGTACCTTATCATCAAAATTTTAAGAATAATTTTTTTAATTTTTAAATAAATTTAATTTATTTAATTAATAATGGTCTTACGATTTAACTAAAATAGACATATTCATATGAATTAGTTTTTGTTTAAATTAAAAACCAATTATTTACTTTTTTGTGATAAATTTATTTTTATTATAACAAATACTATGGTTAGACTTAGGATCCGGTAATCCACAGTATTAATCTGAATCACACACGCAAAGCAATAAATAAACACCCAATTTTCGGATTTCCTAAATGATACCTTTAATTGTTGATGTTTCTGTTTTTTTACGTTTATTAATTATTCATACCGGTTATGGGAAAACCGAACTTCATTATTGTTGTTATTATGTGTATGTATAAAATATTAAATAGTTTTGTTTTAATATTTATAGGTGAATGTTATCTAACGACGCATGCAACGAATCTAGGCAACAATATCGAAGAAACTGAAAGTTTACTACGTGAACACAACGAATTTAAAGGAACTGCCAAAGAAACCCGAGAAAGAGTGAAACTGCTCATTCAGCTTGCCGATAGTCTCGTTGAAAAAGGACATGCGCACGCTTGCTCCATCAAACAATGGGTTGAAGCTGTCGATAACAGGTAGTTAACATAATTTTTATATCAAAAGTTCCTTTATTACTCTTTATGTCAATAGTATTCTACATTTGTAGCGCGAATATTAAAACACCAACTAAATCTTATGTCAGTCAGTTTTAAATTATATTATTCAACTGATTAAGCTATAGCAGGCGATTATTGGTCAGTTTAGAGTCATGTTTTTGGTTAGTTTTTAGAAATTATCTGACTCTACAGGGTGATCCACTCTTGTGACGAAAGTCCGTTATATCTGTTATTATAGAAGATACCAAAAAAAGTTATTTACAAAAATAAGGGGTGTAACATTTACTCACATATTAAAATTAGTGACAAATATACAGGGTCTTCCATAACATTGACGCATCAAAGATATGTTTTTTATTTATTTAAACATTCTGTATCTTATTTTAAATTTAAAATATGTTTCACTTCCTTGTTGCAATAGTATAAATTTGTTTTGTGTTGTACAACGTATCTAAAAAGTTATAACGAAATTTGACTAAAAATCGTAACAAGTTTTATGTCCTGTATAATAGAAATTGGGTACAAAAGGGTACTGACATTCAAAATCGCTGGTCGCTTCAAAATTTTTTTGTGAGAGAACCGTTCATTCTGCAGAAAAAGTGGTAATAAATATTTCTATTCAAAATTATTCTAGTTACATTTCTTGTTTGAAATATTTTTTTCTACCTCGTACAGATTATTGGTAGATCAATGTTTTCCGTTTTTCATCCCTTACGAGGGAGAGATTTAGGGAGAAGTTCGAAGGTAGTAGTGACAAACTTTTTTGCATCTTTTTCTTAACTTTTAACAAGTTTAACAAAGGCTATAGACCGTCTCATAAGTATTAGGACACTAGGCGTCGGTTAATAAAATATTTTCAAATCCAAAACTTTATTTTGAATGGTATAAAGAGAAACAATTTTTTTTTTGTCGTTAAGGCACCATCCTACATTACATGTTGAACAGCTCCAGGACAACTTGTGTGGTTCTTTTCGAGTGCTGCAAGGGGTACATCTTGATTTCATGTGAATTGGCATATGTACATATTTATCAAATCGGACTTCTAAGGGTACTTGAAGTGGTTTATTTCAGTGTCATTAGCACTTTTCCGTCCTCTTCTTGGTACGTCAGGTTGGGCGCCAATAAGTCCGTTTATGACTGCTAACCTAAACATCTTCAACGTAAGCGATTGTCCATCGGATCTACTTTTGAAACTAATAAAGGCATTTACTAGCGACACGTCCAAAAAATACCAAAAGATACGGTGCCATCATCTCTTCGATTTTCTGTCAACTTCATAAATTGACTTTAGCATATTCATTTTGTCAACAAAACCCATGTTTGCATTATAGTCCTTAAACGAGAATTTGACAAACAATGTCCTCCATGGTACCATCTTTTCTCTTCCTAGACACTGTTCCAATATGTTCGGGATTATAATAATTACTTATAAACAAAACATCCTTTCGGTCTTTCCATTTTATAAAAACTGTACCATCTTTGTTAACTCGCCAATCCGACTTCCCTCTCGCTAATTGATGTCCTCTATTATATCCTTTGGTGAGTTCTGTCTTCCCTTTCTTGTTGTTCCACATTTATGGCCCTTTCCTACCAATTTACGAGTAAGATATTTTACGACTCTAGCTCCTAATTTTTTTTTCTGTCGTATCAGCAACTTTTCCTGTATAAACATCGAACTGGCATACTAATCCGGATTTGTCAGCCCCGATCCAGACCTTGTAGCCCCCCTTTTTACGTGCTTCATTTGTTAATATTGCCGTCCTTTAAATTTTATTTTTGACTCATCTTTGCTTGACATTCTGTGGGATTATAACAAGCAAAAACGATTCTGATAGATGATTCAGTAAAGGCCTAAGAGTATATAGTTTGTCATAGTTAGCCTCATGTCTCCTAGGTTGAAGAGAATTGTCGTTTAAATGCAAGTTTTTGAGTAACCACACAAACCGATATCTTGGGATACAAGAACTAATATAAACATCTCTAAGATCCGCTCTGGAAGACCAGTAGTCTCTCAGACTAGCAAGTCCCTTTATTCCCATTAAAAAATTCATTGCTAAGAATACCCACATTTGTTCTGCAAATCAAAATGGTTTTTGTAAATCTATTCTCGTCATCGTCGCTATTTTGGACGACATATAGATTGGTTTAAAAGACAACATTGTCAACAAGGTCCTTCAACAAGAGTTGAAGAAGTACATCCGTAGGAGAATCAATATTGTCTGGTATATTGAGGCCGATCATTAATTTTTTTATAGGGAATGCAACCCTTTTGAGAGGCTCTAGTCCAAATTGTATTTGAAAGAAAATATTTTCTTCTACGTATATTCAACGGAGTATCATCATCGTCACTCTCATCTGCTTCAATTTGATTTTTTTCTAAGACGTCCTCAAATTGGTTTTCCACTGAAACGGTGTCTTCAGAGATAATTGACAGAGACTCTATATCAAAAATACTTTGATTCATATTTGTTGTTAATCTGTTTCCTCATCGTCATCGGAGCTGTCATCAATATTTGAATCTGCATCAGATGGAATGTCTTCAATAAGAGTAAAGGTTTTTTTTTTGAGACATACGTTCCAAATCGGCATAGGAATGTTTATTTTTGTCTGTAAAAATTGTAATTATGGTGGTGGCACTGCCACCACCATAATTACAAAGTGTAAAATGTACTAAATTCATCAATGAAGATTACCACACAAATATAAACAAATATAGGTTACCTATACAATACGTATAAGAAAAACTTACCGACCATTTTATTAAAAATCTTGAAAAACTCATAAATATTACAGCACCATCAACCACGTGTTAAGCCACTGTAAACATACCACTATAAAAATATTACCAACCAACGGTCAGCGAAACAAAATTCAAAATAGATGCTAGCGACTGTCATTTTGACTGCTGCTGCTAAGTTTATCAGTCGTAATCCATTGTAGGCTATGCTTTCCTATCGTGGGCATGATAACTCGCTCTCATCCTATTCTTGCATAGGAGAAGTACGTACCTACGTACATGTCACCTAATACAATCTTAAGTCATATCTGGGACATCTCCTGTAGGCTTGTTCTAGGTCTTTGAAGAACTGTTCTTTTATTTCATCTGGTTTCTCATCACGTGGAGCATGTGCTTTGATCAGACTGTAATTAACGAATTTCCCTTTTAAGCGCAAGTAGCACATTCTTTGACTGTAAGCTTTAAAGTCAATAAGAAGGCCTTTTGTTCTTCGGTTTACAATAAATCCCACCCTATTTATATGTTAACTTTCATTGCAACTGTAATATATGGAATGTCTTTTCTTATCAAGAGAGTACCAGTTTCCATGAACCGCATTTCCTGCAGTGCTAAAACATCTACTTGGTACGTGTTCACTATGTCTAGTAAAGATGTGAGTGCTCCAGTTCGGTACAAGGTTTGGGTATTCCATGTTCCTAATCTTTTCCTAAATTTTTCGTTTGCAGAGTTATCGTCGTGAGTTCCGTCCAGCTAATAGTTCCTGAGGTTTCGTAATATTTCGTTCTTTTTTACAGGAAGAGGTTGTCAGCCTCTAGTCCAACCCCCAACCTGGAGGGCCAGAGACTCTTCTGTTATCGTTGCCATACTTTAGTCTGTTTTGGTTCGCGGTTGGTATTTTTATTTTCCAACTACCATGTTGCTGAGATGGGAGACAGACAACTCCCCACGGACCTGCATCTTTTTAGGCTAAAAAAATTGACGTTATCGGCAAAATTTAGCTTGTTCTTCGTATGATTTTTGGGATCAAACCTCTGACGACTGGACTATTATTCGAAAGCTCGTTTTAAGTCCTTTCAATAGAATTCACTAACGTCAACCTTAAAGAGAAATTTTTATTCGTGTAGTGCTCATTTAAATGAATTAAAAACGAGCTTGAAAAATTAAATACCAAATCCTTTCTCGGCTTAACTGCAGAAAATAAGTAATAAATGCTTTGTAAGATAATAGAAGGTGTCTATATATTACTAACGCACTGTATAAACAGTTACACTTTTTTTGTTTTGCCATCTTTAACCGATTGACGACTTTTCTTGTATAATTCGTGCTATTTGATGCCTTCTGTTATTCCGTACATATTTCCATACAATAATACCACAAAATTATATAAAAACATTTCTTTAAAACTCCATTTTATCCTAATCGCTTTAAGTACTACTCTTAATTACCGAAGAATTTTCAACAATCTTTATACATAATTATTTGATTCATTATTTTTAAAATTTAATTTGAACAACGAGCCACTACATTACAGAATGAACTTGACTTACACTTTAATCTATGAATATTTAAAAGTCATTTGCAACGTTAATTTTTGTTTATCGCTTGCTAATCGCTTTCGTTAATACAATTTTAGATACAAAAACTTTAGTTCTCGAATGGAAAATTATCGACAACAGTTAGAAGAAACGCTGGGCATTCAAGAAGAAGAAAGCGAAAAAAAGGAGTTGTCTATCGATAGAAATTCGGATCCTAATTTGGAAGCCAAAGTCAAAGAAGCCGCTGCCAAAGAATTAAAAGAATTAAACGAGGAAAAGAGAAGATCTGCAAGGAGGAAAGAGTGAGTTTAATTTATAATATTATTACTTAATTGTTGTATGTACTGCTTTATAGTTATATAGGTAAATAACTCCTTATTTTATAACTATTATAACGAATTGCTTTCCTATGTTATATCTAACAACTCGTATTTAATAACATACAACAATTTTAACCTAAAATTTATTAACCTAACCTAGAATTTAGAAAATTCTTAGGCTATTGAATCTTTTGGCATATTATTTTTAACCAATACAGTTTCACAAAAATGTTCGGTGGATAATAATTCATGATAAAAATAAATAAAGATAGGTGTAATGTAAAAAAGTACTCAGAAAATAAGAAACAAAAAGTAAGTATGCATATAATATACGAATAATATTATATATCTATTACAAATATCTTCTTCCTAAAGTTTAAGTTTCCCAATGATTTTATGAACTTATTTCACTCACTCTACTGCCTTTTCTGCAGTTATCATTTAAATACTTAAGTATTTCTATCTTGTATAGTTTATAATATATTCTTTAGACTTAATGATGTCCTTTTTGTTTTTGAGAAAGATTCTTGTAAGTCTTCCTTGAAATATTGATTTAATAATCATAGATACTATACGTCCTTGTTAATTGTCGACTGTATCATACTTTTTTTAGTTGACCTTAGCCTACAGTCATGCCTACTTTGCTAGTTCAAATAGATAATTCTTTTTTGTGGCCTCTTTTTTTTGTATTATCTTTTTCTAGATGTATAATTTTATTTACATTGACATACCTGTATGTATTGCTATACTTCTTTAAAATACTTTATTTGAACACCAATTTGTTTACAATAATTTAACACAATGACAACTATAAGCTTCAAAATAATACTATTATTAAACTGTCAATTTCCTCCGTTTATATTATATTTACCGACGTTTCAGACTTTACTTGCCATTTCAGGATTTTTCAATGGCATTTCGAATATTCTAGAGTATTAATACTTCTTCTTTTTCTTAATAGTATTAACTATTAATAGTATTACTTAGAGAATTAATACTTCTTCTTCGTTAAGAGACTTTTTCTAAGTGGGATAAATCGTATGGAACGTTCGTAACACTCTCTCCTTTATATATAGTTATTTGCCTCGAATATCTGGCTATCAGGGAAAGGTTGAAGCCAACAGGGTGGATCAGTTTCATGGTATATATTTAATCTCTCGATATGAACTACGTTGGGTTTACTTCTAGCTAGAACCATCTTAACCAGGACTCTAGGACCAGGATTTTATTAGAACTGAAATATTAGAATTTCAATTATATATTCGATTTCCTATTTCAATATGGTTGGTCCTCTTCCAATCACATACTTAATTATTACCTGTATAATTTTAGCCTATATACTGTTTGTAAAATGTGCTAAACGAAGCTTATAACAAATATGTTGACTAGAGTAATAGATAAAAGGAAAAGCAGGCCGTTTCATGGAAATTGTAGGGAATTTCAGAATCTATATTATATTAAACATCAAAATGTTTTCACGATAATCACCATATCGGAGTCTCTTCGGCTTCTCCGTTATTGGCTGAGGTACACCAGAAGTATTGAAAAGTTACATAGTTTTCCTATTAAGGAAAACTATGTTTTCCTTAATAGGAAATTGTATAAGAAAGTAAAGAGTAATTGTTTATGTAGAAAATATAGAAATAACTGGATAATTAATTACTAAAGTCGTAAACAATGAAATTGAATATATGATTGTGAATAAGAAAAACCATTGGCATAACTCATAAAGTATTATCAATTCAACAGAGACGTACTTACTATTTTTGAGATGTTGTAGTTGGCAAGTAAGAGAACAGCGTCCAAAAACTTGGCAGCAAAAAAGAATGAAGGACAACAACCAGCGAGAAATCAAATCTTCGACGTTTAATCGTAGATACGCTTGTCTTAACGTCTTGTTTAGTTCTGCCCCCTTCGTAGGTACCAATCCCGCTTACCTAGAGATGGTTGGAGAAATAGTTTGAGCATCGAGTGCACCTTAATAAATTAAAGTCATCTCAAGCTTTATACACAATTGAGTATGCATCCCCTTCTTAAGAAATTCTATAAATTAGATAAGGTCTCAAGAAATTAATTTTTAAAAGCCCTTATTGTCACCATTCTAGATTAATTAATGAAAAGTGGTTCTCAGATTTGACAAAAATATGAATAAAGCCAATTTTAACGAGGGAATTCAAAGATATGAAACTAGCTTTTTGATGAGGTCATATGTTAAAAATATTAAGAATAATTAAACAAAATTTATAAAATATTTACTAAATACTGTTCCAAACAATAATGTGATAAAATAACAAATATTTTAATGTTTCAGATTTATAATGGCTGAACTACTACAAACAGAACGTACTTACGTCAAAGACTTGGAAACATGCATAACCTGCTTCCTACACGAAATGAGAAACTCACCAGCAGCAACCGCATCTTTTCTATCCAAAGAAAGCATAATTTTCGGTAATATGGAGGAGATCTACGAATTTCACAATTCTATATTCTTGAAAGAACTCGAAAAGTACGAAACGATGCCTGAAGATGTAGGCCATTGTTTTGTAACGTGGGCTCAGAAATTCGATATGTACGTCACTTATTGTAAAAATAAACCTGAAAGTAACAGTTTCTTAGTTCAATATGGCGGAGGATTTTTCGAAGAGTTGCAGAAAAAGCACAAATTAGAACATCCCATAGCTGCTTTTTTGATCAAACCTGTTCAGAGAATAACTAAGTATCAGTTACTTTTGAAAGACCTGCAAAGTTGCTGTGAAGAAGGTCAAGGTGAAATCAAAGTAAGTAAAATTTATTTTTTCATATACCTGCATCTGACTTTGTGGCAAAACAAATTTTGTGGTATTTAGTCAATCTCTTTTATTTGGAATTGGTGCCTTTACTTTAAGTATCCAGTTCTGTCAAATTAAATCTTGTCCATCCAAAAAAGACTGAGGTGTGCTGTATATTGCAGTGCAATATATTTCCACTGAATATCTGAGTCAGCAGGTAATAGTCCCCATTACTCAAGTTGGTTCCACACTTTGAAACACCGACTGGCAAGCGATGAAGAATTCTCCACATAGGGTAGAGAAGGTTGTGAACAGGTGACAGTTCTTCTCGAGGCTCTAGATGTGAAGAAATATTTTTTCATTTAGCAAGACGACTTCATTCTGATGGGTCTTATATATGGATTAATTTGACAAGAGAATTTTTTCTTGATTTGAGTCTTCGTGCTGTGGGCTATCAATCATGGAGTAATGGTCCGGGGTCTTTAATTTGTTTTTTTTTTGTTCCACATCTCTAGCAACTTCTCTTCTGATATCCTGTAGAGCTATACCAAGGATAAAGTAAAGCCAAGTGATGGTCGTGGTCTCAGACATTCAGTAATTATTCTAGAAGATTTATTGATACTAATATATTCATTGTCTAGTATGTGCAGATACGTTCCATACTGATGCCTCATATTCTGTAGCCGTAAGTTTTAACAGTTCTAAGGGTGGAATTATGTATGCCTATTTTTTGGTTTACAGTTTTGCAGATAATATTATATAACAACGTTTGACTCAGGGTAATTCCAAGATATTTAGTAGAAACTTAGTGTTCAACATAACACCATTCATGTTCAGGTTTTTGGATGCTTCTCTGTTACGAAGGTTAAAAGAGCATATTTGTATTTTTCCCGGATTTGACTTGAGGTAGTTTGGTTGGTAGTAGGTTTTCATTGTTTTTAAGGTATCATCTAACGTCGTCGACACTTTGGCAACAGCTTCTGCTTATTCGGAAGTAGTCGTCCCTTACTATCTATGGGTTGATCATTGATGTAACTACTATACATTCTAGGTGCAGTTGCACTGCCATCAGCGAAAACATTATTCTGTGTTCTTCATCTGCTATTCTTTCCATTGAAAGAGAACAAAGATCTTTATTTTAGTTAGATTACTATCTCCTGTGGTATCATATAGTGTTTGAAAGGTTTTTTGTGGTTTATCTGGTTTACGATATCGTAAGAGATTCTAAGATCTAGAAATACTGTGCCGAATACCCTAGTGCCTTTCATTCCGATCTTTGATGTCTTGGGTGACATTCAGTATTTGTGATATACATAATGTCCTTTAAAGAGTGTTTCGTCTACTCCCGCTGGAATTTCAGCGTCAAGGTCGTTTCGTTGGGATCATTGTTATTTTTATCCAAAGCAACGAGCTTGGCTTGTATTTTGGCTACTTGTATAGTTTGGACACAGAACATGGAATGTATCATATTCAAAAGTTTAAAAAATATTTGCCATGCTACTCATGAAGGAAGACATCAATAATCATAATTATCATAATTTTTGATAATAATTATGTAATATTCTTTGTCATCATCATCATCATCATCATCATTCAGCCCATACTCGTCCACTGCTGAACATAGGCCTCCCGTAGTTCGCCCCACAAATTTCTGTCCTGAGCCGCCTGCATCCAATTTTCATGTGTCCGTTTCAGGTCATCCGTCCATCTTGTTGGTGGCCGTCCTCTATTCCTAAAGGCATCTTGTCTGGGTCTCCACTCAAGAATGCGTTTTGTCCATCTGCCGTCCTTCGTTCTCGCGACGTGCCCTGCCCAGTTCCATTTTAAGGTTGATATTCTTTTGATTGCGTCGGTTACTCCCGATCTACGGCGCAATTCTGTGTTGGGTATTCGGTCTCTCAGGGTTAATCCCAACATGGACCGTTCCATTGCCCTCTGTGTTGTTCGAATTTTGTTTGCGGACGTCTTAGTAAGTGTTAGCGTCTCCGCACCATAGGTTAGAACCGGCAGCACACATTGATCGAAGACTTTTCTCTTCAAGCAGATGGGAAGAGCTGATTGGAAAACATCTCTTAGCTTTCCATAAGCTGCCCATGTCAACCCTATTCTACGTATTAGTTCATTGGTCTGGTTATCTCTACTTAAGCGAATTTCGTGTCCCAGATATTTGTATGCTGATGTTTGTTCTATACTTGTTCCAGCTATGTTGATGTTCTCACTCAGAACAAGGTTTGTCATCACTTGTGTTTTTGAGTTATTGATCTTTAAACCCACTTGTGTAGAGGCATGGTAGAGTCTTTCGCACATTTCAATGGCATGATCTATGCGGTCTGTTATCAGGACTATATCGTCCGCGAACCTGAGGTGACTAAGCTGCTCTCCATTTATGTTTATGCCCTTTTCGTCTAGGTTTGCACGCTTACACATGTATTCCAATAATGTTGTAAACAGTTTTGGTGAAATGGTGTCGCCCTGGCGAACTCCACGATGAATGTTGAACTTGTGTGTATCTTCATGGAGTCTGACGCATGACGTGGCATTATCGGCATATTCTTTGTCAGAAAAGCGCTAAATATATTATGTAAGGTCTTCTATTATCTTTGTTTTCGTCAATCGAGACATCTTCTGCATCTGCATGTTAGTTCGTTTTTTCCTATAACGATTATTTTTTTGTTGTTACGTTTGTGATTCTTTCGTCCATTACCATGTAAAGTAGAACTGTACTGAAATATTTCCTTGCATGGACCATGTCTTCTTAGCAAGATAGTTTCTTACACCTAATACATCGTCTTCCTGCTATATTTTCCCGAATAATAAGTCGCAGTAGTTGGTAATTGTTGGTAATATTTTCGACTGCTGTACAGACTTGTATTTACCATACTTAAAAGAAGTGTCTCTGATACTCTATTTATTAGGTCCTATAAATTATATTTTCATCTATTTTTTATAACACTTTTCCAACCTTTATTTACTACTTGCTAGATATTGATTTATTTGTGTATATATTGTTATTTTAGGATGGTCTAGAAGTAATGCTCAATGTTCCGAAGAAGGCGAATGACGCGATGCACTTGTCTCTCCTCGAAGGCTGTGATATATCCGCAGATAAGTTAGGCGAAGTTGTTCTCCAAGACGCCTTTAGTGTCTGGGATCCCAAACAACTCATTCGAAAAGGAAGGGATCGACATATTTTTCTTTTCGAAATGTATCTCTTATTTACCAAAGAAGTTAAGGATTCGGCTGGAAAAGTCAAGTACATCTACAAAAATAAGCTAATGGTAAGTAGAAGGTATCCACAGTGCGATTTATACCGCTTAAAAAAGGAGACTTTACAGAGTCGGTAATATGTTAACAATGTGTGTTAGACAGTTAATAGTACGAAATAAGAGAGATCTTCACCAAAAACAGTAAGAATAGCTTAACTATTGGGAATTATTTATTTTTCAAGTAATTTAATTGGCATTAAAATAACTATACCGCTATACAAGCAACTGCAGTATGATAGTGAATTCTATTAAGAGTTTAGATTGTAATAGAAATAAGATTTACCAGATTCTATATAATTAACACACTAACTCGACCAGAACGGATATTCTTCAATTAAAGTTGATTTGAATGAACTATCTTACAATAAAGTCGTCCCAAGAACGCAACTAAGTTATATTGGCAATATTATTTTGAAGTCTTTTACTTTAAATTGTATAATATATGTCTGAATTGTCAATATAAATAAGTCAAATAAAATTAAATTATTAGAAGAATTTTTCACCAAGTAACAAAAAACAAAATTTGTTTAATTTATTAATGTTTGTATTTTTAGAACGATTTCCGAAGTGGAAATTAAAACGTCAATCAACTTATTTTAAACTTCGTTAGGATAATTTTCCGCGGTCAGGTATATGAAAGTTACTAGGTTCTCGGTAAGTACCGCGTTGAGAATTTAATGCTCGAAGTTTCGGCACCCATTTTGGAGCCATTATCAAGAGAGATACGGTTCCGTTCGTGTTCGGGGTCTCAATCTGCCTACTCCCCTCACTCGTGATGTACCAGTATCGTGTTCTGTATAAATACAAGAACCGTCAAACGGCACTGAGGTTTGCCTACTAGTCAGTCCTCAGTATATAAAAGCAGCCACACAGGGTAAGACCGACCGTCACTCGACATTGAAGAGTAAGCATATTGAGACCTCAGTGCCTTTGACGGTATATACATATACACATAAAAGATATGCATGCGACACGTAGGTGTTCAATAAAGTGTAGGATTTGCGACTAGAAAGATGGTAGCGTAAAATGCTAGGAAGAATTTGGGGAGTGAGGAAGTATGGTGAAGAAGAACCAGATATAACAGCAGTACAAGGAACCTAACATTACGACATATGTCATGACACAAGCAATGAAGTGGTTGGTACATACACCAGGGAATACCGACGGAAAGACGGATGGAAAAGGTTGAGAGTATCTTAATGTGAGTAGGTGATTTGGACTGAAGAAGAAAAGTAGAAAACAGAAGAAGTATGATCAAGAACTTTCGTAAAAAATAGCATAAAGCATATAGCAAAGATTCGGCAACGTGGCGCGGAGTTGAAGATTTTTGTTTTATTTTCTGTCTGCGATAAACCCGAAATTCGAGAGTTGCAACGGGAAATAATTCAATACCTTGTAGTGAGAATTGAGATAACTGAATAAGGTAACAACTGTGCAAAAATAAACACCGAAAACTGCAAAAAAAAACAATAACAAAGTGAATAATCGGATAAGGGAAAAAAGCGAGGTTAACTGATAAGAACTAACACTGGGAAGGAAGCTACGTTTAAGTGAATCGCGACGTTGCCAATGTGTGCAAAGTTTCGTGTTTGCCACGGAATACAAAATTAGTCGAGACTTCGAATAGGGGATTCAACAGGAAGTGGTAGATACTGTTTCTTCCGAGCTGTTGAAGCGAGAGATAGTGTCTGGCGCCAATCAGAGTTGAAAGTAATCCGCGAAGTGACAAAAAAAAAAAGGAAAAGCATACAAGGATTGAAAAATATCTACAAGGTAAAACGTATATGGACAGTGACGATACAACAACAGATGAAGGAGCAAAAAGAAAGAATAGAGGAGAGGATGATGAGCAAGAGGAAGAGAGATCCAGAAAAAATAAAAAACTAACAAGAACCCCTCAGAAGACAGGAGGAAAAGAGGATGGAGCAAAGCTTGATAAATTGCTAGAAATGATGAGCAACCTAACCAGCGACATTAGACAAATAAAAGAAGACCAAAAGGAATACAAGGAGGTAGTTGAACATCCAATAAGGGAAAATAAGGAACTAAAGAATGATAATAAAATTCTAAAAGAGGAAAACATACAGATTAAGAAAGAATTAAGGGAAATACGAGACAACATAGAAATTATAGAAAAACAGAGAAGGCGAAATAATGTGGTAATGAACGGGCTAGCAATTGATACGCAGGATCAGCTGGTATTGAAGGAAGCAATTGGCAATTTTATAAAAGATCACCTTGCAGTAGAGGCCAAAATAAAGACGGCCCACAAACTAGGTCCAAAAACGTGCCTAATTGAAATGGAGAACCAACAAGAAAAGATAAAAGTTATGAAGAATAAAGCAAAGTTAAAGGACGTCAAAAAGGAAAAGGTATACATCAACGATGACACAACGGTGAGAGAGAGAGAAATTCAAAAAATAATAAGAAAAATTGCACAAGAGGAAAGAAACAAAGGAAACGAAGTCAAAATAGGAGCAAGGAAAATGATGATAAATGGTGTTGAATGGAAGTGGAATAGCAAGGAAGATAAAATGGAAATAACAAACTCAAAAAACTAGAAAACGGCTATGATAGTAAAAATACGAAGACGAACAACGCAAGGAACAAGGACATGAATACCGGTAACATTGTCATAGGAAAGGGTGATTTAAAGATAAAAAATACAAAAAAAGGCAATAGAAACACATATCCAAAAGATCACTTAATGGTAGGAACGTGGAACGTAAGGGGTACTTTTGAAAAGGAAAACTGAAACACTTAACTAAAGAAATTGAAAAGTTTAAATTTGACGTAGTGGCATTACAAGAAACAAAGCAACTGGGTCAGGAAATACTGGAAATTGAAAATAGCTTATTTTTTAATAGTGGAGGCAGAAACAGAATATTAGGCACAGGATTTTTGGTAAATAAAGCGTTAAAAGCATCAATTGTAGAGTTTAAACCAATATCTGATCGTCTATGTTGTCTAAGAATAAGAGGAAAATATCAAAAAATCACATTCATTAACATTCACTCACCGTCAGAAGAAAAAGATATTGAAGTAAAAGAGGATTTCTACTGTGAAGTTAATAGGGTATTTGAAAGTATTCCAAGATATGACATTAAAGTAGTACTGGGGGACGCAAATGCAAAGATAGGAAAAGAAGAAATATATAGAACAACTATAGGAAAATTTAGCAAACACGAGGAAACTAATGAGAACGGGCAGTTTTTGATAGATTTTGCCAAAGAAAAAAATATGCTAATAATGAGTACATATTTCGAGAGAAAAAGCATCTACAAAGCAACATGGCGATCCCCAGATGGAAAAACATTAAATCAAATTGACCATGTACTAATAGAGAGAGAAGACCGAAAATGTATAAAGAACGTGCGAACATACAGAGGACCAGACGCTGACTCGGATCACTTCATGTTAGGAATTAAAATGGCTCAACTGATACCGGAAGAAAAAAATCGCAAAAGAAAAAATAAGAACACAAATAAACCAGTGCGGCTTGTAACGCAAGAAGAACAAGAAATGTATAGAAAAGGTATCGATAGAAAATTAAATGAAATACACCTAGAAGGGCACATAGACAAGGACTGGGACAAAATTCAGCAGATTATCAGTAACACAGCTAAAGAATGCAATAAAAATATAACTAAAAAGAAAAAGGATTGGTTTGACGAAGAATGCCAGAAGGAAATTGAAGAAAGAAGTAAACTAAGGATGGATATGATCAAAAGTGATACGGAAGAAACAAGAAACAGATATGAAAAACAAAGAAAAATCGTAAAAAAAGTTTTGAGAATGAAAAAGAGAAAGTACATGGAAAATCAGCTGAAAGAAATAGAAGAAAATTACAAAAATCGAGAAATTAGAAATTTATACCAGGGAGTAAAAAATGAAAAAAGAGGTATACCAACAAAAAACAATATTTTACAAAGATAAAGAGGGAAACGCCATTAGTGGAGAAAATGAAATAGCCGCTAGATGGAAAGAATACTTCGATGAATTGCTAAATGACGAAAACAGGATAGAACAGCAACAGCCTATAAGAACGGAGAAACATAGGAACCAAATAAATGAGACAGAAGAAACACCCCCTACCAGAAACGAGATAAAGGAAATAATAAAGAAATTAAAAAATAACAAGAGTCCAGGAAGTGATAATATAACTGCAGAGATGTTCAAATATGGAGGGAAAACGCTAGAGGAGCAAATGTTCAAATTAATAAAGGAGATTTGGATTAAAGAACAACTACCACAAGAATGGACAGATGCAATTATATGCCCACTTTATAAGAAAGGCGATAGGACAGATTGTCAAAATTACAGAGGGATATCACTATTGAATACTGCATACAAAATTCTTGCAGCGTGTATAAAGGACAAATTGGCAGGAGTGATAGAAAACATTGTCGGCGAGTACCAATGTGGCTTCAGACCTGGTAGAAGTACAACAGATCAGATATTTACGCTCAGAGAATTGCAAGCGGAAAGTTATCAACACAATCTGCCGACAAGGGTCCTCTTCATTGATTTCAAACAAGCGTACGATAGAATAAAACGGAACCAAATGAGCAAAGCACTAGAAGAATTGGGTATCAGTAGAAAACTTATAAGAATGATACAAATAACGTTGTCCAAGACTGAGAGCAGAGTTAAAATAAATAATATAATGTCGGAAAAATTTGAAGTCAGTGAAGGAGTAAGGCAAGGAGATCCCCTATCATCGATACTATTCAGCTTGTGTTTGGAGAAGGCCATACGAGATGCAAATGTCAACAGAGAGGGATTGTTATACCAAAGAAAGCACCAATGTCTAGCCTTTGCAGACGATGTAGTAATACTGGCTCGAAGCAAATGGGAGCTACAAGAAGTAGTAAAGAGGCTAGATAGAGAGGCAAAGAAAATAGGCTTAGCCATCAACGAAAGTAAGACAAAATACATGGAATGGATAGATGACAGTGAACAAAAAGGAGGAAATCTAAAAATAGAAGTAGAGGGTGAAAAAGCATATATATTTGAAGCAGTGGAAAGATTTACATACCTGGGGTCGATGTTCACATGCAAACCAAATATTAGAGAGGAGCTCCAATCAAGAATAATGGCAGGAAACCGATGCGTGTACTCCTTAAACAGGCTATTAAAAAGTAAACAGATATCTAGGAATGCCAAAATAAGGATTTACAAAACAGTTATACAACCAGTGGTAACCTACGCCAGGTAGGTGTGGACACTGAACAAAGGCGAAACAGGTATGCTCGAAATATGGGAAAGAAAGGTTTTGAGAAAGATATTTGGAGGCAAGATAGTAGACAATACATGGAAAAGAAGAACAAATAAAGAATTAGAAGATATGTACAAGAATCCTAGTATAGTGGGAGTAGTAAAGGCTCAGAGACTCAGGTGGCTAGGGCACATAGAAAGAATGACAAATTCTCGAGTACCAAAAATGATTCTGATGCATACAATGGGTACAAAAAAAAGAAGAGGAAGGCCGAGAAGTAGATGGAAGCAAGAAGTAGAGAAAGACCTAGAAACACTGGGAATAGAAATATGGAAGGACAAGGCTAATAATAGGAAGAAATGGAAAACAATAACAGCTCAAGCCATGGGCCTACTAGGCTCGTAGTGCTATTATATATATATATATATATATATATATATATATATATATATATATATATATATATATATATATATATATATATATAGCATATATCAAATGTAACTTTTTGCGTTAGGCCTCTAAGGCATGTTGTACACTTTATATAAATCCATTAGAAATATACAGGGTGTCGTAAGAATTGTCGCCAGTTCTTTTCAAATATGAATTAGTGAACCAATTAAATCGTAAGAATAAAAATTTTGTGTTTTGTACTTGGTTGCTAAAAAAGAAAGATCCAAAATTCAATATTTAACCATGATTTAATGTGTCATATTCTTCTTTCACAAATATTAATATTTATTTTAGTCAATTAGTTTCTTATTTTTTAATAATAACTGTAACGATGTTTCAGACCTCAGAATTGGGCGTCACAGAACACATGGAAGGGGACGAATGTAAATTTGCTGTATGGACCGGCCGTGCTCCCATTTCCGACTATCGTATTGTACTTAGAGCTTCTTCGCTCGAGACCAAACAATTGTGGGTGAAGAAGTTGAGAGAAGTAATACAAGAGACTTACTTTAGCGGAGCCTTGCCATTGTCACTGCCAAAGAGTCCTGCTAAGCTGAAACCACATAGCCAAAGATCCAGTCGGTAGGTCAAATTGTAAAAACTCATCAACAATATTATCCTTGTTTTTTTTTGTTTTCCTTTTATTAGGATATAGTATAATTGTACTAACCTCATATATATGTCAGCTAGCCATACAATATTAAAACAAATCAAGGTAATTCAAAATACCTCATTGAGAATTGTTCCGGACTTTTTCCACGTCTGTCAAAAGTCTCCAATGTCTAAAAGGAGAATTAATGCCCCCATTAAGGATAATTTACCTTAATATTTCTTACGCAACAACAATTCTTTCAAATACAAATGATCTCGTCATACATAATACTGAAACTAATCGTTTTATAGAACTGCGTAGAGAAGAATAAAAATATTCCCTTTCCCATATTCTCACTTCCGTCACATGCATTCGTTGTTTCTTTTTTTTTTTACTTACCAACATTCAGTCCCGTACAATTCTACAATTCTTCTCCATGGTTCTCTATATATTTCCCCATTATTTTGTAAAACCGACCTTTACCATTTAAAAGATTGAGAGACAACCTTCCACAGAGGTATTAATCCGCCAATAAATAAGCAGAATTGCTTATAAAGAGGAAGAAGAAGAAAAAGACTTTTCACGATAATTTCACCATCCAAAGTTATCATCTTGTTTGTATAAATAAGACGATAACTTATTTATCGTCTTTTTTGATAGTAGTAACTCCAACTTTAAATAAACATTCCAGATACCTGCTCTGTTTTTGTCTTATTAAGTTTTAAACCCTTTTCTTCAATAGCCAGTCTTCACCGTTCCAGTTTTTCCTCTAAATTCCTTTTAATGTTTCTCACTAGCGCTTCATAATCAGGGTACATTAAACCCCAGGGGATCTTACCATGTAGTTTGTGTGTTATATGATCCAAAATTAATGAGACTAAGTAAGGCCTTACCACTGAGCCCTGAAGCAGTTCTACTTTCACATAAAATTTATCAGTCTCCCTCACACTTCTCCTAACACTCCCTCATATATATCTCACACAATTTTCACATACTCACCGAAACTCCTGTCTTATTTAGCGTATATCACAGAACCTCTCGAGGAACCCTATCGTTTATTTTCACAAGATCAATGAATGGGAGTATTTTTCTTTATTCATATATTTTTTCATAGCTGCCTTATATTGAACATTACATCTGTTGTTGATCTGCTTTGCAAAAATCCAAACAGATTTTTGGATATTTCGATTTTTTCAGGTCTCTATCAACTACTCTCTTCCATATTTTCATGTTGTGACTAAATAGTTTCATGGTACTGTATTTTGTACACCGTTGTATATCTGCTTTGTTTTTGTACACAGGTACTAATATAATGCTTTTTCATTCGTACGACATTTGTCCCACTTCTATTAAACAAGCCTGTTACTTATTCCTGTCTCTCCTAAAGCTGTCTACACAGTGATGGCATCTGTTTCAACTGTTTTACCTTGTTTATTGTTTTGAACTCCCCAATCCTTTCGTATCTGATTTTTCAAGTTGATCGTATATATTTTTTTTTATCCTGGTTGTCTAGCCTTTGCTACTGCTAATTTTGTTTTCTTTTTAGCCAGCGTATAGTTTTGAAAATCTGTCCGACCTATTTTCCTGTTAGTATTTTATTTTTTCTTGAATGACTTTATTCACGCTTCTTTCTTGAGGGTTTTCTAAATGTTTTAATAGCGGTATCTATAAGAATATGTATATATATATATATATATATATATATATATATATATATATATATATATATATAATTTAGGCGGCACACGCCCTTTCTGGTAGGCATCGATGGAGGAGTATCACCGAGACGCAAGCCCTTATCTCTTACTGTACTGCTCCACCATAGGCCGATCAGATACCAGCATATTCTAGACTAAGCCGCAGATTCATTTAGAATTTTAAACTGCTGCGTTAGCCTTTTTGTTTTCTGTACACCGAGCTGGGGATTGAACTGACATCTCTCGCATTGAAGCTAATGAGAAGCCAGCCGCGCAGCCCGGGTGGCTATCCGATCGATAGCCAACGCTTGGATCGCTTGGATATCCGATCTATAAGAATAATGATATATATTATATCTACAGATCTACGTATACAATATATCTGTAATAATAATATATAATATTTCTCCACATTATATTAGGGTTCTCTTGAATGTTCCAGCTCATTTTTTGTAATATTTTCTGTTAACATCAACCGTTTATTTTTTTGTCAATTTGTTAATGTCACAGCACAAGCAACTGTTGTTGGCTCAAAGTCTTACTAATTATTACCCTGCAGTCCTTAAATTCACGTCTATTTTCCTGTTATGAAATGAGAATCATGGCGGATGACTGGTCGATAATAGCTGCAGTATAACGGTTTTTCTCTTTCGTTGAAGTGTCCTCCATACAATCTGACAGACGAAAAGAATAAGACTTGACAGCCACCATGTTGTATTGCCCACGTATTGACCCCTGCTAACCGCTACGTTAGATTGGCCACGTATTGACAGCTCACAACCGCCATGTTCGATTGATCACGTGTTGACAGCTGACAGTCGACATTTTAGATTGGACAAGAGTCGTCAATGGTCAGGCTTAAGAAAGGGTTCGCAGCTTACAACTCGCATGCTCTTTTGTGACACCTGCCGGCAGTCATCAAAGGAGGCCGAAAAAGGTCAAAGAATGCAGTTTTTCGCACGGTTGGCAAAATTTTCCTATGCTAAAACTCTGCAGCTATCTAACTGAGAATTATACAACTTTTATGTGATTTTAATCATAGAAATCTTTACTTTTATTCTCACCCAGACCGACTTAAGTACACACGCAAAATTAACGCTTATTCCAGTATAAATCGTTCTTACAACTTCTATTACACTTTCATTCAGTTCTCTATCGCCAATTGTATTAACTCCATTCCTAGTGTTACTTTTCCTTCATATCAATATTTGTATCCTCTGCTTTTTTTTGACCTGTAATGGTGCCTTCCCTGAAATACTCTAGTCTTAAAATCCTAACGGCAGCTCTGTTTCTGCTTCCAGAATATTTTATCTCAGGAGACCTATCATTTTAGTAAGAATATTTGGTATATTGTAGGTCTTTTCATTATTATTGTCTGAAGATTTTCGGACATTTAATGCCTGACTTTATCAGCATCATGTCCTGCACACCACCAATAAACCAAAGTACAGTATTATCACACACCCACTTCCATTTTTCTTGTACAGGCCAACACCCCAACTGTGATAAACTGCCCTGTCCATAAATGTATTGTTGCCCTTATCTCGCCACTATGGCAGGAGGCATGTAATTTATATGGGATACTACATAATACTATAGAAGGATTTTCTTTCTATGTAAAATCTTTTTCCCTTCTTCTTCTTTTTATGTAGACATGACTGTCTATTTTTCAATCGTTTTCGTGGTTTTCCTACTGATCGTCTTTCTATTGGGGAATCGTCTCTTGCCGTCTTTACTATGATTATTCCATTCACGACCACACACTACGTAGATTAGCAAAGGCAATCCCATGCGAGTTTCTTAATAAAATAAAAACTAAAATAAAATAAAATGTCGAATCGAATTGAATTGAATCAAAAACCATCGCTTGGTTCGCAGACGATAAGAAATTCTTTGCTATGACGATAAGCTATGCTTTCCCTCCTCGATCACTCTCGGAGTGCCATATCCCGATTTTATTTCATATATTTATCATATAATACAAATTTCTTTATTTTGTTAATGATTTTTCTCTTTACACTCTCATGTTATAATGTCTACCGTAATTTGTGGTACATAAAATATAATACATATATAAACCATTCGATGTGATGATAATCACAGGGGACGTTTCAGTCTCAGTTGCATTGTTACTACTTAGTTTGTAATATATTTCGATTTGACGTGAACAATATGACTATGAATATGAATATGAATATTAAATACAAGTTTAATAAGCTACTGACACATATTGTGCCATGTTTCCTTCGAATTAATCACAACTGTTCAGGATGAAATTAACAAACCAGTTCCTTCTCATTTATTTTATTATACACAATAGCTTTTAGTAATTAAAACGTTTAAGAGGTTTCAGTGAAAATTAGTAATATGTTCTTTTTTAGGGATATGGAGGAGTGCAACTCTCTAGATGAAAGTGTCGAGAATTTAGATCGTAATTCCTTGACATCTTTTGGCTCGGGAAACACCACCGACTCCGACAAGGTAAGTTGCATGTAAACATTTTGCAACTTCTTTATCTATAGCTTCTTTACTGTATATAAGACTTATTTTATGTAGAAATAAAATAATTTGTTACGATATTTATTAATAAATTTTATTTTTCTAATAATCTGTCTGTACCTTTACAAAACACATCTAAATATTTGTTTGAACTGTTTGTTTGAACACTAAGTCAAACTTTAACTAAAAACGAGTTGAAAATGGAACTGAGGAGAACTTTGCTTCATGAAAAATCATATATCAATAAGTTAAAACTACATTTTTTGAAAATGTCTTCTGTTTAATTGTGTGTGACATGTTTGACTACAACACTGTGGCGCTTCCGGGTGGTAAGACACAACTAGCTCAAAACTTATTAAGTGTTTCATTATAATTTTCCGATTCTGACGATGAACCGGGAATGGGTAAATACAGAAATAACCACAGTCTAGAATATCGCAATACATTGTAGTTACAACACATCCATATAAAGGCTGTATCATAATGTACCAATATACGAGGTTTCTCAAAAAAGAATAGTTAAAATTTCGCAATCTACTTACACAAGCCTCAATTAGTGAAGAGACGCGAGTTCTGGGTGCGCAGTGGCTAAAATCAAAGTGTGGCTAAAAAATAGCTTCATAAATTTGCCAGCTACTTTTGTAAAGTGTTGTCACGTTGTAATATAAAAAAGAAGAATATGCTAAAACGAAAAGTTCTAAATCATTGAACGCAAGAACTAAAATACTCAAATTTCTTGGCACATTCTTAGTAATTTAATAAAAACTTCATATAAAATCATTATTTTTTATTACCTGATAAGAGTCTGCCCGAAACAGTCAATACTCATATTCTTAAATTCGATTAATTCTTATAATTTATCAAGACAATGACAAAACCGGTTGAAAAATCAAAACTTTATACTTCAGGTGCAAAAGGTTCGATCCACGCCTATTTTATATAAAACAAGACACATTTTTGGGATGCTACTAATAGATTGGTCATAGATTTAGAAGGAACATTAAATGTAAATTTTGTAAAAACACAATTTGTACAAAAAAATAATTTATGAAAGCATATTGCATTATTCAAAAATTGAAAAAAAAAAATTAAAAGTAGCTTTCTTGATAAACAACAGTTATAACAAAATAATGTTTATGTCATTTATTATTAATACCAAGTACATATTTATAATAATACCCAGCCGGCATAATTCTTGGTATTTTGGTAATTAAATTTTGAAAATTAAGTTGATCCAATTCGTCCCATATTGTCTGAAGAGTCGCACTAAGCTCAGGCAAGTTGTTTGGGTGGCGTAGCCGAACTTACATTCGTCTTACCAGTGTTTCCCATAGATGTTTGATTGGATTGAGGTCGGGGCTGGAAGCTGGCCATTTTATAACTTTTTCATTCAAGGGCGTTTTCTAAGTATTCATTGACGATTCTTGCACGACGGGAAAGCGCGTTATCGTCCATAAAAATAAAATTAGGTCATATAAATAGTGCAATAGGTACCACATGCCCATCTAAAATGGTTAATATATACACCTTTCTCCTGTCATAGAACCTCCATCCACAAGAACTAAGTCATTAAGGCATCGGAACTTATACCAGCACAAACCATAACTGAGCCTATTAATATGTTATTCTGTCGGCAATATTGCATTGGGCAAATGGATCTCTTTATCTTCTCCAGATTTTTTGTTGAACACCGACAGCTGACACCTTTAAGGTGGAAGTTACTAATTTGCAAATAATGATTTATCACTGCGGGTTACATTTTTTGATAACTGTTTCAACTCTTTTAATCTGCAAAATAAATTTAAATGTTCCTTTCTTGAATATACTTTGTTAATTGATAGTTTTAAGTTCATAGCAAACAATAATAAGTAAACAGAATACTTGCTGAGAAGACTTGCACAATGTTTTGAGTTTGCTAAAGACGTGCATCTTCGTCGTATATTTTCTTTTCTATTTTTTGTTATATTGGTACATATATCTTGACATGTATTGGAATTATCAGCCATTTTGCACTTTGTTTTTGACAGCTATAAAGGTAAGACGCGTTTGGGTGTGCTTGGCAATTTTGTGTTATCGAAAAAATGGATCAAAGAATATGTAGAAAATTTTAGAAGAACAAGAAATGTAAGTCAGTTACTTTTGACTTGACTGATACATTTTTTATCGACCCCAGCGCATTCAGAGGGACACCAGGATTGGCACTCCTGGCATTTAATCCAGCATTCTTTCGACTTTGAGAGGGAATATAAGCCATTACAATACAAGCAAGCGACGTCGGAATCATCATCTTCAAAATTTTCATCGTTCGCGGATTCCTGTTCCTTCTCATTATTTCTCTCTATCCTTTCTTCTGCCATTCGGTATAATGTTCGTTTTTCAGGAAAACTGTCATCCAAGATTTCCGTTCTAATTCACTGTTGTACGTAGCTTTTTCTTTAGGTTTTATCTTCTGTTTTATTGGTCGTTTAACTTTGTTTTCCAGTTTTCTTCGTTCTACATTTTCTTTTACAAATACCTTCTTTGAATTCTTGAATTTCAAGGGTTGAATTTATTACCTCTGTTTTTCCACGCTTCTTTTGTTTTTTTTTTGTTTGACTGCGAAACACTTGGCATGGGTGATATCTTGGATTGTTATGTGAAGAGTATCCTGTTGAGTATTTAGGTCCTAAGGACCCGTTGGCAGTCTTTAGGTGGGTGATTTTGTCCACTTTCTAGGTTTTCTTCTAGATTATAATCTGAATTGTTTAGATGGATGTTTTGAGTTCGATATTGATTGCTCTCTATAGGTTTATCTGTAACCAATGATGGAGCGAACATCCATTCCTCAAAAATATCAGGATTAAAAGGTTGAATCCCTGTTTTGGCAAAGGCATTTACGGCATTAGCAGGAGTAGCACTTTTAAGGTAAGCTATTTTAAACAACCCAGCAACTTGAAACTGCGTAACGAGTCTTCCAGGATTTTGTTTTGACCAATTTTGAATCTCTTGGTTATAATAGGTTTGTAGAGGACTAAAAAAGCCCACGTCGAGTGGTTGCGCCCAGTGGGAACAGTGTGGTGGAAAGCAGAAAAGTACAATACCATTCTCTTTTGCAACTTGTAAGACTTCCAGTCCCTTATGACTACTGTGGCAATCTAACAATAATAATATTTTGTTCTCATTCGAAGTTTGGTATAGTGAATAAAATGTTTAAGCCATTGAACAAAAATGTCTGAAGACATCCACCCTTTCTCCTGGTAAAAAGCAACACTTCCCTCTGGGGCAGCGTCCATTACTTCATTTTTGAACCTTTTTTCTGGGAAAAATAAATGCAGGTGGTACAAAAGTACCAATTGCATTCATTGAACATATATATATATATATATATATATATATATATATATATATATATATATATATATATCCGGTTTTTTAGGCGTTACGCCCGTCCGGTAGGGATCTATGGAGGAGTATCACCGAGCCGCAAGCCCTTATCTCTTGCCGTACTGCTCCACCATAGGCCGATCAGATCCCAGCATATTCTAGTCTAAGCCGCAGATTCATCTAGAATTTTAAACTGCTGCGTTAGACTTTTTGTTTTCTGTACACCGAGCTGGGGCTCGATCCCACATCCACTAAACAATTCGACAGTGAAGCGAATGAGAGGCAGCCACACAGCCCGCTGAGCTATCTGACCGCTATCTGAACATACAACTGTTAAATGCTGACCTCGTTCTGCACTGCTCAGTGCTCCAACTTGTGTCGGTCCGTCCCTTGGTTGCAAACACTTTTTGAGGCATTGTTTGAATAGTACTAAGACCTGATTCATCAACGTTGAATATATTGTCTGATTGAAAATTGTATGTATCTAAAACTTTTGCTAAAGATATAAAATATGCTTTAATATTGTATTGTAAATATGCACAACGCTTTAGCACTAGTATGCTAATAGGAGTGTTTTAGAACTGTGCTTTAGAATTTGTAACACTAAGTAATATGTGAGAAAAATCAGAGTATCCCAGTGAAGTAAAGGGGTCTATGTTTATTGTCAATGATCATTGTATTTCATTGTCGTAAAAACTCATCATATTTGCGCAGGAGTCCAACTATATTCGATCCGAATATATCAGGTAAGTCTACATTAATGTTAATGACCTTTAATGTTTTTTCAATAAGGTAGTGCAAGTCATCATTTGCTAATTAAAAGAAAAAATGAAAACTAAATATTTGTTTCGATCTTACTTAGCAAGGATGTTTAAATTAATTTTCTTTAAGAGCTCTAGACAGTTGGCAGTATCATCGGATAGCTTAAGGTTAAGGTAATTTCTTACTGGAATCCCATGCTAATGATCTCCCAGAACTCAGTCTTACATAAAAATTACTTTACATGACACTAGATATTCCTCGAAAAATGATAAAAACACTTACCCAATATGTGCAGACTTAATTCTTTCACCTTGACAGTAAAGTTTGAAATCATGTGATCTGCGTTTTATTATTATTCCCGTATCAAATGACTATTCCTCAACGCCTTTACCAGTTGATCTTCTCGGGAACTTTACGATTTCCCATCCTCACAAGTGTTCCCTGTATCTCCTCTAATATTGACTGCTCACTCTGCGGTTTTAACTTTCTATAAAGAACTCACAAGATTATCTGCAAAAAACTAGCAGAAATAGATTACAACTCCAACAACATGCTAGTCAGTTTTAACATAATCAACCTATTCACTAATGTGCCTCTGGAACAATTTTAAAAATAACGAAAACCGAAGTTGAGAAGCAAGATGCATTAACATTATTCACTGACAACACCCATTTTCAATTTCAACGATTTTTATAAAAAGGATATTGGATTAGCCGTGGGTTCTTTATTATTATCTAGATTATTAGTAGATGAAGTAATGGAAGAACTTCAGAAAACTATTGTGTACATATATGAGCAAAAACTCACAGTATACATTTTTGAAACACGAAAAAACAACTCACTTCTATTTTTGAATGTGTTAATCACAAAGGAGGATATGTAACTAATGCCTACAGAAAACCCATCCACACAAATAGATATTTAAATTATCACTCTGACCACAATATAAACATCAAAAAGGGAATAATAAAATCAATAT